ACACTCCTTTACTCTGACCATCTAAATCTGTAAGCGCACGTTAATCTGCTCTGGCAAATGCCCCATCCTGTCCTGTCAGATCACAGTCAGACACAATTCAGGTCAGGCCAATCACAGCTGTTTATCTTATTTGTTGTGTGTTTATGGGCTATTGAGGCATTTTTGAAGACAAAGGAGATGGCCAACTCTGATATAAAACCTATCAGTATTTAATACACTGAAACCATGCAGTACCAGATTTTCGGTTGTTTCATTAAGCTTCAGCATTGGATGTTGGGATTAGCTACCTGCCTTTGTGTCAGGTACCTTTGTGTCACATTTGTCGCTGATACTTCAAACATCTCCAGACATTCAGGTCTGAGACGGTTAGAAACACCTGCTTGAGATTAAAAATGACCTGAAAGGCTTCAGATTATCTTTTGTAAATTGGTTTTGCTGTTTTACGACAGAGGCCTGCAATAAGCTGATATCAGCTGAGATTCTGGCCTGGATGATGTTGGTCTCGCTCTACTTTCAGCGACTTAAAAAAAAAAAAGCTTGGACTCCTCAAAATAAGATTCTTACTTTTAATATTGGTTGTATGCATGAGTTAGGCCTGTTTTGTTTTTATCTTATAGTCCTGCCTCCTTCAGTCTGTGCACACCATTCACTGTACATAATGTATCTGTTTTCAGGTTTACTAGAAGACTTCTGTAGTTTTGTTCTCAGTCAGAAATCTAATTTGTATATGGTCAAAATTTGTCCAACTCAGTCACTTGTTTTTGTTGTTGCTATATTATAAAACACCCTGAAAATATCCTGTTTCACTCTAGTTTAAATTACTGCAATGGGAATTTTTGTTCCCACTTTTATACCTCTTTTTGTTGTCAGCTTCTGTTTTTTGGATTACAGAGAAAATGGAAAATTGTAAATTGTGACATTATTTATACTGTACATGGTTGTTTTCTTATATATTTATTGCATATCAAAAGGTACTTCACTTGATAAGGGCCTACAAGGTATTTTAAAGATGTAGTATGGTCATAAAGTGTGGACAGGGGAAGTGCAATCAGGGGGGTGGTTTCATTTTCATGGTGCTAGACCCCCCCCCTTGCCTAGGTGCCCCCTCAATAAACAGCTTATGATGATGTATGAACACAAGTAAGTGATACAACTCAAACCAACTGGTTGGTGCTTAACCATTTCAACACAGTTACTGGTAACAGAAATGGGATGATGTCTTTGTACTGTATGTAACAGATGAATACGAGATCTTTAAAAACGTTTTTTTTTTTTTTTTTCCATTGTATGAAATTCATAATCTTGTGAGGCATTAGTGGTTTTATGATGAGCATTAGCAGTAGTTGTAATTCTTGACACTTTTTGCAGAGACTTTTAGGGATGTGACTTTCAAATGACGTCAGGGTTTCAGTTTTCTCTCTGTGTCTCGTCCTCATTCTTCTTCTTATTAGTATTATTTGAAGGATGTAATGATGCTTTTTTTCCCTCTTGACTTGTTTGAGTTATGCTGCACTTATTGTTTCAAAAAGAACTCACATAGAAGAAACCTGAGCCAGACCTGTCTTAAATCCCTCTGTGATTTTTCTGTGACATATTGTATTGTTGTTCGATAAAATAAAATGTTTTGATAAATTATTTATCAATGAGTGTTTGACTTTGATTTTCTCTGGTTTTTCTTTCTGTTGTGGCATTTTTATTAGAACAAGCTAGTTATTTCTGCAACAAAGATCAATGAATATTAAAGTGTAAAGGTGAGGAAACATTCAGAAAGCTGTCGAAAATTGAGCACTGTTTCTTTGACACCTTAAGTGCTAAAACCTGGACCTTAGAATCTGGGGTAAAGAGCGCCCCCTTGGTTTGCTGGGTGTTGCTAACATTAGCAGAGCCAGCACCACCAGCCTTTGCTTCTCTTTGTCGCTGAACATCCACATACTTGCACTGGTTATATGAGTGGATATACACCAGTTTTACCAGGCGTAGCCAACACAACCTATCAATCTCTGTTTGATAGGTAAATACTGCTATGCCACACAGCAATGACAGGTCTACAATAAATTAAATGATAAACATTTGATCATTAATCTAGTCATTGAGGTACTGACTTAGTAGGGTATCATCATTAAAATGTTAAACTGACATGGACATGTGGTTAATTCAGTCCTAACAGCTCTGTGCATAGCTACTCAATAAAAGTGTTCATGGTAACATGCTGAATGGTTGTTTTGACTAGCATTATTTTGCTTAAGTTGGTTTATTTTCCATTGGAAACTTAAATTATCCGATTCCATTGAAAAAAAAATTGGATAATAAACTGTTTTGGCAATGTAGACCTTGTATGAATCTCTAAAAGAGAAGGTAATGTTTAGTTACATGTATAGGCATGAAAGTAGCTTCCAGTACAGTAACTTTTGACTATGGTGTGATGAGTCCTATTTAGAGCAAGTTATTAATATTGATCCATGACATTAGAGTTTGTCGTACATTTGTTGTCTTTTCAGCCACTGGGTTGAGTTAGTTTAACATTTCATAGTCATCCATTTTTTTGCCACAGTTAAGTAGCTTTATGTGAAAGTCTCAATTTGCTGTGATTTGGGGATATATTCACAAACATCAGACTAACCCCTGCCTAGTATTTGTAGCTCTATGGATCCATCAACTTTTCTTTTCATATCATGATGATCTCCCTGCATGCACAGATTTCACCTGATAGTAATGTATAATTCATCAAAAAATATAGCTAATATATTTATAATATGTAATATATAAAACATGCTAACTACATCTGCAAGTCTTGTTTTACGTTTTGAGGTCTGCAGGTGTGTTACATAGAGTCTTTGACATTATTAACCTGCAGTGCAACAACAAAGGTTTTAACAAAAATAGAAGTTAATTACTACACTGAGAAATGGTCTTATTTAAACATTTTCATAATTATAATCAATATTTATTATAACCACAAGTATTTATCGTGTCACTGCAGCTGCAAGGCCATGTTTTTCTCTGTGAGTCCAGATGAGCTTAAAGGTTGCACTGACATGTTGAATCTTGTTAGTTCTGGTCTACAGCCACTAGGTTGCGCCACTGGACTTTTTTGAGGGGCATTCATCAAAGTTTAGGTTGAGGAGGGACCAGCTTATTTATCTTCCCCCTTTTCTCCCGATACTATCTCATCAAAGCAGCAGGCAGCAGCCTCTTTATTGAAGTTCCCTTTGGAGATAAATTTCTTCTTCTTCTTCTTCTTCTTCTTCTTCTTCTTCTTCTTCTTCTTCTTCTTCTTCTTCTTCTTCTTCTCTATCTAGTTTAGAAGCAATCAAATCAAAAAGTAATCCAATAATATCGAAACATGTTATATAGGCTATGATGTTCCTGGGTGATTTGACAAAAATGGGATACATTGCCAAAGATACAAACCAGGATATAAATTAAGAGAACATGACATGACCATTACTCTAAAGCAGTACACTTCAACAATACTGAGGTAAGCATATGTGATGAGACTGTCTCATAATAGTATTTGTGATTCATCTTTGGGATTGCTATTTTAGCCTTTTGTTCCTTAGTTAACCTCCGGGGTTAGAGGACATGAGGTTTCTAAAAGTGCAGATGTGGGGACATCTCCTCTAAACGTGGTCGCCGTAGCGGATATCCTGGTTCCAAGGACAGGAAGGCCGCTCTTCCTTTACCAGCCCCCTCTGACATTGACATACACTTATAAACAGCACACTGTGGCATTGTTAATGGCTAAACCACCAATTGCTAGCACATCAAGCGCTAATTCCTCATAGCCTTTGATCATATTCCCTTGAACAGGCTGTTTAACTCCCCTTAATCTCTCCTGGGACTGTTTATATCTAACCCTCAGAAGAAGCAAACAAACAATGATGTCCAGAGAGGCATGAAAAAATGAGACTTCATATCCAAATGCTCATGTTCCCCTTTGAACAGAGCCCCTCAGGTTTCTTATCAGTCCCATGATAGCCTGTTTTCCCCACCAAATTGGTCAGTGTGCCCCCCCATCCTCATTTCCTTATGTGTTCTGAGAGTAGAGCTCTGTTTTTCATCAGCAGGTCAAGGGCCAAACCTCAGTCACTCCTGCTTCTAAATCCCAGCTTAAGCAACTCAGCAAGAAAACCAGTCAGAAGAGTTTCAAGCATGTTTCACAGACAACAGACAAAAAAGGACTTCAGAGTAAACAGACATATACAGGATTCGTGCAGAATCTTCCTAAATGTTTTGGGGCTTGAAAGTGCTTAAAAAGAAAACTGCAGAGCTAAGAGACTCCAAGATTATAATATGACCAGTCCAGGAGCCAATCACTGCATAGCAAAATCTTAAAACCCCATCTTTAGGGCGCTGCAGGTGGTCTGCGTTACATTCTTGACCCTGGCATGTTAAGCTCCAAAAGTGTGCACCAAGATTGCAAAATGTATTCTGACAAATAAAAGAAAAAGTAATGAACAACTTTATCATCACTTTTTCCTCATGACATGTTGACTTAATTCTCAAAATATTTTTTTTCTTTAATGTGGCCCTTGTACTCCGTTGTTGTCGCAGGCTTTTAGCAACAGGACTTTCAACAAAATGTGAAGTGGATGGCAGATTCATAAAGAAAAAAAGAAAAAAGAAGGATCTCCAGTACAATTCTTCTTTAGGTGCTCTATAATGATGATATAAAGAAAGTATTATTTTTCTACCCGCTGATTCATGGGAAACTGGAAAAATAAGAAACGGTGACAATTTGATGGCACATCAGGGCATATTTCTTTAGTTAATAGGTAGAAGACTATTAAGCTATAGCTTAGTTTTAACATCATTGAACCACTTAAGCTAGCACTTAAGCTATTTAGTTAAGAAATAATAATAACAATGAGCTAATAGGTAGAAGACTATGAAACTATTCTTTGGTTTTAACATCGTTAAACCACCTAAGCTAGCACTTAGCTACTTAGTAAGGAAATAATAATAAAAATAAGCTAGTCGGTAGCTGACTATTGAACTATAGCTGAGTTTTAACATCATTTGACCACTTAAGCAAGCACTAACCTACCTATTAGCTTAATAATAAGCTAATAGGTAGAAGACGATTAAACTATAGCTTAGTTTTGACATCATTTACCATTTAGGCTATTTAAGCTACTTAAGCTATTTAGTTAAAATGATAATAAGCTAGTAGGTAGCCAACTATTGAACTATAGCTGAGTTTTAACATCAGTGAACCACTTAAGCTAGCACTTAAGCTATTTAGTTAAAAAATAATAATAAAAATAAGCTAATAGGTAGAAGACTTTTAAACTATAACTAAGTTTGAACATCATTGAACCACTTAAGCTAGCACTTAAGCTATTTAGTAAAAAATAATAATAAAATAAGCTAATACGTAGAAGACTATTGAACTATAGCTGAGTTTTAACATCATTGAACCACTTAAGCTAGCACTCAAGCTATTTAGTTGGAAAAAACAACAATAATAAGCTAATAGATAGAAGACCTTTTAACTATAGCTAAGTTTTAACACCATTGAACCACTTAAGATAGCACTTAAGCTATTTAGTTAAATAATAATTATATAAGCTAATAGGTAGAAGACCTTTTAAACTATTGCTAAGTTTTAACAAAAACTTAAGCTAGCACTTGTGCCAGACGCTCTGACTCTAGGTTGTTAGTTATAAAGTATGGTGGGAAAAAAAATCAGCAGCTCACTGTCAACTGTCTTTCAGTCATTGATCACTTGTAACAATGTTCGTAAGACATAACCCGAAACACCCCGAACTCGCATTATGACAGACTCAGAGCTTTACACTCATTAATAAGTTGTTCTATCAGTGGGCTACAGCCTGATATTCTGATGAATGGTGCTCAGTCTGCATCTTATGCAACAACCTGTTTTCAAGCTTCTTAATCTTTTTGATGGCATTTTTGAGCATCAGCGTAAAAATAAAAGCAGCTCATTTGTCTTATATCATTTTGAAACCCACCTTATCAGTGTTAGTGAGAGAAGAAGAGAAAGTCCTCAGTGAGGGTGTAAAGTGCTGTGGTTTGGACAGCATAGTCTAACTCCACTATAATCTCTCCAAATAAACACTCATCCTCCCTCCCCCATGGTTCCAGGGGTTATCACACAAACCCCCCACTGCTCCCCTCACCCTGCCCAGACACCCAGAGCCGCCTGAAACACAGCCCATACGCATCACAGGCAACACAGGATACACACTCACACTCACACATGCACACACTCTTAGTGGTTTACGCACTCAATCATATCTCAAACTGGAGCTGGGGTGAGGAAACAGAATGTCAGGGAAGGAAGCGCTGAAGGCTGTAGGAAAGCACGATTCGCCTCAAGTCTGTAGAGCAGCTTTTTGACCGGCTCTGGAACAGAGTTCAGTGAGAAGATTGGATTTAAAAGAGGAGGGAAATTTAAGATTTCTAAGGCCAGAATCTAAAGGGAGAAGATTTAAAGCTAAAGAAAAGTGTTTGAAACTCCATCTTCAATTGGACACCACCCTCTGGATCTGAGTTTTCAAAGAAAGAGGAGATATATCAGGAGGAAATTCTTGAAATTCTCTTTGGCTCTGAACACTCAACACTTTCAAGGTCTCTCATCAGAGTCACATCATCTGCTGCCACCAGCCAACTACAGGAGGACACAGTGAACACAGTAAGTACAACCAACTTTATGAATACTACTTAAAAAAAAAAAAAAAAAACTACCATAAAAAGACAGAAAAACTTCACCCTGATCCTAAAAGTTTATAAAGTGTATGTTTGAAATGAAATATTCTGAAGTTGTGTCTTCACTCTCGAGGTTTTTTTAATTTCTCAAGTTAATTAAACAAAGGGTGCACTTATGACGTCACAGAAAGACAAGTGTTCGAGCTGCTTGATGATTGAATGGAGGATAGACTGTGCCGACATACTCTGATAAGCAGCAACCCCTCTTAAATAAAACTAATCCAGTTGGTATTTCCAACTGCGCTTTAAGATTTTTGGAGCAAAAGCAGAGACGTATAGTTGCTATAACTCCTGATAAAATCTTAAAGAAAGGTTATGTAACAAGGCACTGAAACTCCAAACAGCTCTTATTTATGACACAAAGTCCTCCAGTGGTCTTAAAAGAAGTTTTCCATACTCTGTGATCCTGATAAAACAACATCCCTCATGTCTAGATACAATAAAAAAAAAAATATATATATATTAATCATCACAAAGAAGTGAGCTTGCTATAGGGGTAGGGCGTGTTGACTGTCGTTAACTGTTCACTTCTTTATATAATGTTGATTGAACAAAAAAAAAAGGATTTACTGTGTGTAAAAAAAATATGTTTACACTAAAAGTTCACATTGTACTTGCTGTAACATCATTAGCGGTGAGTACACAGAGAACAGAGGGAAATGGTGAGATGCTGTTCTTCAACGCTTGTACTCAGTCACATGGAAATGTTTGGCTAAAGCACAGCGTGTATTCTTTCAAAACCCAAGTCAAAACACCGTCCTGACACTTAAAATAGTGATTACTTGGATTTTTTTCAGTTTTCCAGCTGCTGTGCACTCATTGTTCTAGCTCGTGGTTATCCTGGAGTTTGGAGGTGGGGTCAGTGGAGCCCATTTCCTCGCACTTAAAGCTGTGCAGTTATCTGTGTTGACTTTCCACACCTTTCACCACTTTATTTAAGGAACCCAATGCCGATGGATTAACATTCTTCTGCGCTCTGTGTTTTTAATGAAAAGACTGAAGAAACCAGGACACACTGAGAAGAGAAGATTTTATTTAGACAGAAAATAAGCAATTTTATGGAAATCCTTTCACTGCATCACATACACAAGGAGACCCTCAGAGTAGTTGGCACACTCCTGTAAACAGAAAAGTCCTTACAGCGGAGTTAAAATGACTCCAATCCAGAGAAAACCTTTATATTTGGCAGATTAAATAATCAGATTTAGATACTGGGCTGAAACCATTTTTTTCTGTCCTTCAGCACAACCACAAAGGAGATGAGTCTGTCAAGGAACGGGACTCTGGAGAAGACGGTGTCGGAGCAGGCCCACTCTGAGCGGGGCTCCCCCTCCAGAGCGGGGTCAGGGGTCGTGGTACCGCCTCCATACTCCCTGGGGGGCAGTGAAGCCCCTGACAGCCCCCTGGAGTTACGGGGTTCTCTTGACTGCTGGGCATGCTCGGTGTTGGTCACAGCCCAGAATATGATCATAGCTTTGATCAACGCCGGGCTGGCAAGCATCGTGTTTGGCACCATCCTCACGCCCGCGCTCGCCATGATCATATTCGGCTTTCTCTGCCACTCCACGGTAAGAAAAAATTGTTTTGATGCAATCGTAATATGGTCCATGAACATCAACATACCAATCTGAATCCATCATTTTTGCTCCTTTGATTGTAATTCAGCTTTTTAAAACCTCATTTATCATCCTGATGAAATGTGTTCCCATCAAAATGAAGATTAGCTCCTGAAATGACATTTAACCTTTTCAAATCCAGTCAAGCCTGCGGAAACAACCAAGAAGACAGTCAGGACTTAATTAGCCCCTGCTTTTGGTTGAATTCCCTCAAACAGGATTTTGTCTCCAAAATGCAGTGAAGCCCCCTCAGAGTTAAAAAAAAAGAACTCCTTTATCTACTCCTATAAAATAAAATTTAGCTCACCCCAAATCTAAGTAAACCCTTGAAATGCAGTCTAGCCCTTACCTTCTGGTAGTACTTGGCTTCCTGAGAACTTTTTTAGCCCTCTCCAAGCCTCACTTACCTTCCTAAACTATCATGAAACCTCTATAGCTGTAAGATTGAGATTAAGCCTTCTAGAGTGAGATTAAGATGACCTAAAGTCAATAAACCTTACTGACAACGTTGGCCCCTCTAAATTTAAGCTAGCTCCAAAAAGGGTTCCTTTTTTACCATCAAAATCTAATTTGACCCCTGACATGAAGTTTGTGTCTGTCTCTCCTTATGTAATTTGCCCCCCTAAACAACTAATTTCTCCTCAAACTTGATCCTCTTAAACATCATTTAACACATTTATTTGCCCATTAACACCCTAGAAACATAATCTAACACTCTCTGAAGCTAATTTAGCCCCACAGTTTGGAGTGACTCCCTTTTAGTGTGAGTCAGTCCCTGTAAAATCCACTATAATCCCCGAGGAACATTATCAAGCCCCCTGAAATACCTCATCAAACATAACTTCACTTAAATCCACAGTTTTTCCTTCTGACTAAGTCTGATTTTGTCCCTGAAACATAATTTAAGCCCCTTAAAATCACGTCTTCTTTACTTGCCTAGTCTCCAAAATCTTTTCCTCCATCTTATAAAACATTAGTCTATACAGTAATAACATTTACGACAAATAAACTGCTGGCAGAAACAGACATGGTTACCACAGTTAGCAAAATGTCAACATTTGCTGCTTTTTTTTAAAACAAAAATACAAATAAAATGTTCATCAGACTTACTACAGAGGGGTAATATGTGTTGGAAGAAGTCTATGAATCGATAACAAAGAGTATGTAGATATCAGAAAACACAAGAGAGTTCAGATTATAATGGTCAGACTGGTGCCTCACACTGATTATACCACATACTTGTACTATGCTGTCATAAAGAAAAAGGTGGTACCTCCAGTAAAAACACAATCAATCTGTTGTTCTGACAGGAAATGATGGCGACTGTCCGTCAAACTCAGACCCGCGATTGCCACATCAGTCAAACCACACACACACACACACACACACACACACACACACACACACACACACACACACACACACACACACACAGAAAGGAAAATATTGTTTCAGATATATGAGATTGTTTTTAAAGATCTTTCTGGATCTTCCAGAAGCTTAATTTAAATTTTCTGCAGCTGTGACTAAGCCGTTCAAGTTTCTCTCTGCAGTGCATTATGGGAGAATAGTGGACCCTATTTGAAACCATAAAAATGTGGGCCATCTTGAATTTATACTGACCATTTAGTTCATTTAATCAATCACTTTCCAGATAAGAGAAGCATGTATATTCGGTACTCCCTAAAATCAGCCTGAAATATGGAACTGTGCCACAGACTGGTACTTGAGTAAAGGTCACGTTGTGTAACTTTGGTGTTATTCATCTATCCTTGTCCTCTCCTCCTCCAGGTGCAGCCTCATGGGACCTCGCTGTACTGCTCAGACCTGCTGGATGACGGGGGCTGTGTGGCCCTGCTGGTTGTGGGCTTCCTGTTGCTGACCCCCCTGCTGGTCCTGGCTCTGGCTGCTTACTGTCGCTTGGCCCGGCACCTCCAGCTGGGCATGTGTTTTATTCCCTACAGCCGCGCCGTGTACAAGAACCTGCCCGCCTCACGCCACAGAGGGGGTGCGTCAGGAGGCTGCTGTGGCCAGCAGGGAAGTGTGGAGAGGGAGGGGAAGGGCAGTGTGTGGGTATAGAAGGGGGGTTGTGTGGTTTATGTATCCATGTTTAAAGATGGGCGCTGGATTGTTTGGATCTTTTATTTTTTTAGAAGCAGTCTCAGTTGTATGTCTTCCTATACAGCCTTTGTAAAAAAATATCATATTTCATCATTTATAGTGATTGTGTTGGAGTCAATTATGCTTTCTGTATACAATTTGAATGTTATGAATGTATTTCTACCTTTTTACAATAAAACATCATTTAACTTTTCATCATTTGTATATGCAAGAAAAATGACAGATGTTAACCTGAAATGAACTAGTTTCCTTCAACACCAGGTAGTGAATTTGAGATGCACTGAAAAGATAAACAGGTAAACAATATATATCCCATACAGCTTCATTATTAACATTATTTTTTTAAGTATTGTAGGTTTTTTGAATAAAAGATTTTGAAAAACTTTAGAAAAAAAGGAAAAGATGTTCAGTTTTATTTTCGACAATGTTTTTTTACACTTGTTGCCTACTTTGATAAAAAGAAAAAATATTATGTTCAAACAAGCTGCTGTCAGTTTTTATTGGAATTTCTGTTTTCTTAATTAATGTTTAACACAAGTCTGGTCAACAAGTTGTCATCTCCAAATTCACGATAAAGATTTAAGTGTTATCACCGGTAGTGTTTATGTTTACGAACTAACTTTTATGCATTTAAGATTAATTGTCATGTATTTGACTTAAGCTAAGTTATTTCTTAAACTTCCTTAAATTTTTTTATGATGAAATCATGTTAAACAACTACTTATAAATTTAAGTGACAAAAGAGACATGATTTTGGTACTAACCCATGAGTAAGTCCCAGAGTACTGCATTTTTATTTTTTATATTTTTTATTTTTTTCTCATGTATAAGAACATATGGCACAACAGGGCAGTTTAAGAGAACAACCTCCAAATTTGACAAATACTTATATTATTATCCAATATTATCTGCTACACAAAGGCAAAGAGCGCTGACTTTTTTTCTGGAGGTTTTAACCTTTTAAATCCAAACTATGCCCTTTGTCAAAAATGTACTTTTTCAGCTTTTGTACTTCTTAAGTGTTTATACCCTCTGTATCTTATGATAGTTTTCACATGCAGACGCACATTTCAGTGTTATTATTGGATTTTGTGTTGTTACGTCAAAACAGGACAGAATGAAGATAATGAAGATCTTTTAAAAGTATTATCAGTTTTCCTCATTCAGTAATTAATTAATTGCAAGTTTGGAGTGACATTGTATTTACTTTCTTTATCTGCTCATCTGTTTAAAAAAAAAAAAACTCAAGGATTATCATTTTTTATACCATCTACAGTTTATTTCATTAAGAGCAGCTTTGACATATAAGCTTTTAGATGCTCGATTCTTGAATTGTAATGACACCGTGTTGGAACGACAGGTTTTAGGTTTTAGACATTGTAGCTACTCAACCAAAGTTACTTTTTTCTCCAGAATAAATCAGATTCAGCAAACTTTGGTGTTGACATTTAAAAACTTGATGTCAGGAGTGTTTCTCACATGGTTTGAGTGCTAGTTCCCATCAAGCCCACTAGGTGGAGTAAGAGACAGGATGGAGAAGAAGGAGAGCTGCACTGTCACAAGTGAATATACACGCAAACCATTGAGATATAAAACCTTTATTCATATATAAATTACAAACGTAAGGTTTCGCATGTGTTCCTTTAAAATGGTGGATAATATTGTGCTTCAATAGTTCTGTACTTCACATTGTAATGTTTGTGTGTTTTGATATTTCATCTGAACTTCCTGGTGTGGGCAGATGTGAGGTTAGCAGGGCTGGTTGTTGATGTTCATTAATAATTTGTCATGTGGGGCTTTGTATGGAGCTGTGAAGGCACCGGGGGCCAGAGTACCACGTCCATCTGCATCCACCTGACCCATGATTATGTAGTTTGCACCTGTTGGAAAGGAAACAAACAAACAGCATTATTACATATTCACATAAGTGTAGATGGTAATAAACTTATGTGTGCATTAGTGTGTTTGACTCCAAGATGTCATTACCTCTGCGGAGCAGCGGGCACTTCTTACACAGTGACACCAACTTCACAGACATGGTTTCTCCTACTTGTGTGATTGTCAGACGTCCTGCTTTGTAGGCCTTTATAAGGGAGACGTTAATAACAAGAGTGCCTCTAGGACCAGGGGCCAGAGAGCTGACTTTTCCGGTAATCACTGGAAAAAAAGAAAGGAGGTACTCAGTGAGAACAAAGCATTTCATTTGTTGGTTAAATGTAAATATGTCCGAGGCTTACCGAATTCGCTGGCACAGAAGCTGGTCTTGATGGTTCCATCTCTCCTGCAGGCCTTGGCACATAGAGGGTTTTGAGCAACTACAATGGTACATTAAAGAAATGCATTACACATATACTCATCTTCTGTACAATGACTCACTTATTATTATCAGTCAAACTGTCACTGTTGACATTCGCAAGTTATTGCGAATCATTGTTTTTCTGCCATTTTTATCACTTCTAAAGAGTCTATAATCTATTGCTATGTTTTGACCTCTACACCTCTTGCTGCCTCTTAATCTATCTACCTTTCTTGGCTCATTTGGTTGAGACCAATCACACATGAGTCTGGTTCTGCTGGAGGTCTCGGCCTGTTAGGAAGACTCTTTGCCTTGCCTCTCTGTGAAGTGATTGCCTATTAGTAAATCCATGTTAAGTTTAATTTAATAATATCTAACCAGGAAAGCCTCATTGAGATTAAAAATCTCTTATAATTAGTGTCCTGGCCACATGTGATGACTGAACTCCAGACAAGCCGAGCATGCAGGTTTTTTCACCCACCTGGTCTCTTTCCATTGGGCCTTGTGACAGGTACTCTTCTGTCCTGGCCTGTGCTGCCCTGTCCACGACCTCTTGTGGGCTTCACTGGTCTGGGTCTCTCTGTGGGGGCGGGTGGGGGTGCAATGGTAGCGGTGCGTTCAGGTGCAGCAGGTTTAACAGGAGGATTATGAGGGATTGATCTTGTACCAGTTTCTGCCTCTGTTGGTTGGTAACCTCGTGGGACGCTGGTATAGTGGGCTAGGAAGCCGTCAGATGTCACACTGAGGTCAGACACAAACTGGACCAGGAGCACGTTGCCGCTAGTGATGATGGGTCTGGACAGGAAACAGGAAGATGATAAAGGGGAGAGCTGAGATTGTACCAGTTAAAATGAATGAATGGATCAACAAATAGCTAAAACAGGATCCATCACTTACTGCGGGCTCTGATCACCGCAGTATTTCCCAATCAGGCGTGAATCATCCCTCTCTCCACCGTTAAAGAACGCCACATAGTCAAATCGACAATACGTGTCAGCCTCCAAGACGAACTTGTCAAACTTCACCTGGATCACCTGGTACCCAAAAGATAAAGGACTTCACATGGTGTTTTGTTTTTTAAGTGTAAACATTGTTAAAAGGAAAAGTTGTCATGTTGTCAGGAGTGAAAGTTTCCACAGACCATATCAGGCTCCACAGTGATGAGCCAGGAGCAGCTGGTTCCTGGTGGGTACTTTTTATCTGGCCAGTTTGGGGTTTTGATCTCTCCCTGGGACTTTGTTATCTTCCCACCACAGAACTGTTCATCTGAAACAAACCACACGTTCTTCTATAAGCACAGTGATGGAAGGTAAAAAGGCACCATACTTTAAGAAATATCCAAGTACAGATTTTGTTAAATATTTGAAGGGTTCAGTTTTTCCTCCTGATGAAATTGTGATTCCTACAGTCTGATTTGGATCCACTGCAGATTTATTGTTACACCATTTAAGTTTTAATTAAAGTTACACAATCAAGAGCTGGTTTTCTTCACCTGATTATTAATGTTGGCAGGCATCAAAGATATTCAGAAGATGAACATTTGGGCAATGCAGCCAAAGGGGCCTCTCTTATCCCATTATTGCATCAGTTTCAAAATAACATGAGTGTCTACTTTCTCAATTTGGGCCGTTTAAATACAATAAGTGGGAAGATAATAGAAAGCGTAAAGGTTAGAGAGGTGTAACAAAGGCCCCAGGCTGGACTAGAAGATAATTAAACTCTCTTTAACTCCTTTCATACAGGCAAAGAGCTTTACAAGAAGTGAAGTCTTTGTGCGGCCTGACTTCAGAGAAGTGACAGTCTGGTTCTGCTACAAAAGTGTCAGCACAGTTTCCAAGTTTCATACAACTTGTGTTGGACTTTACTGCAAAACTTCACCGTTTTCTGTCTAAAGTAGACAGCAGTATCTGGTACTGATATGTAAAACTTACAAGTCTGGTATGTTTTAGATACAATGAGTTGTTTGTTTTCAATTTCAGAATTCAAGGCCCTCCACATGTTCAGGCTTTGGGAATTTACTCGATTTTTCCTCTCAACACTCGATCCAAATACAAGCCGTGTGATGTGGAGAGAAGAGTTAGTCCCATTTCCCTCTAAAATGTAAACATCACAGTCATTTAAGAGAGGTAAGAAAAGTACTCTGGTTGACATTAAGCCAGGATTGATCCATCTTATTTAATCCTAACAGGGTCTGGGTAAACTGGGTAAACTATTATTAAAACCTCTTTAGTTAATATTTTTTTTCAAAACCTGTTGCTGTCTTGAAGTTTGCTGACGTTACCTCAAAAGGCAGTTGTACCAGTCTTGACCAACTTCAAGCTTCCCTGGAAAGTTTTATCAAGTAACAAACTGAACGTGAAATTGACAGCGTGAAGTTTTGTCTTCCTTTGTTTGGGGAGTAAAAGAGAACAAATGGAAGCTGTATGTGTTACATTCTAGGACTAGTTTATGTTTGTTGTAAGTTGATGCAGGGTCAAGTGGGGCCAAAAAGAACCTAATCTCCACATAAAACTGTGACCACATACCATCTACGTATGGTTTGGTTCCACTGAAGTAAGCCACAAAGCCTCTGCCCTGCGTCTCTCCGTCACTCCCCATCTCTAACATCATCGTGTTTGTGGTAGAAATAAGAGCGCCAGGCCGGAAAGTTCCACAAAAGCGACCCAGTTTTTGTACTAGGTTGGAATGGCCGTTGTAAACATCTAGATAGTCGTAGCGGCACTGTGAGTCAGCCTCCAGGTCAAAGATGCGGAAGGAGAGCGTGACCACATTGCCCTCTGGGACCTGGAAACACAAAGATGGATATGACTCAAACACAGGGAGACAGACAGATGAGGAGTCAGTATTTAGACATTCAAGGGTGTAGTGACTCACCGTGATACGCCAGATGCATTTACTGTTAGGTTTGTAGAAGCTTGGGAACCCCTCGCTGCCAACAAAGCCTGAATCTGCGACCAGGTCCCCTCCACAGTAAAACACCGGCCTATCAGGAAGGAGACAGTAACACAATGGGTAGAACATAAGACAATGATTCTGGCACGGTTTCTCTGAAAGACAATAAAACTGTGTTATATGAGTCTGCGGAGCCTCTCAACACCCACAGATACAAGTATTTTAATTGTCGTTTTCGGTGTCTGTCTGTGTGCTCTGGCTACTGTATTTCACAGAGCAATAGTGTTATTTTTAACACAATGTACTGTCAGCAACCAAGGATTTGATTTAATTCACAAGCTATAAGCCTACAAGATGTTATTACATTTATTGTTGCAGTTTGTTTCCTAATTAAACTCTGTAATTAGCTGACCACAGATTAAAATAGAGTGAAACCACAACCATGTTATGTATGGCAACATGCACTTAAACAAGAAAACACAGCAAGGTTAAGATGATTAATTAGCACAGGCCCTCCTTTGCTCACAATCATAAAACATCACAGCCTAAAATTTATGAAGGGCTACATTTAAAATGAGAAGTTTAATGCTGGTTGTTGTGTGTGGATCCTAAAGAGTAATAAATAAGTAAACTGTTCACTCACACCATCAGTAAGTGAGTGGGTCAATAAATTAGTAAATTGGTAGAAATGAAACAATGACTCAGCAATTTAAAATGGCGGGGGCTCATTTTTAAGCTAGCTTGGTTTGTTTAGGTCTTGACTCTTGGATATTTAAGCTAATATTAGCTGGTTAATTCAGAGCCTTACAGGTAGATTTCTTTTTCTGAAGGTGTCCCCAAAAGAAAGGAAAGTTCTTAAAAGAGCATAATCAACTTTATCTGTTGTCACCAGCTAGCTAACTCTGGCTCTTCAATGTAAGGCTAACGAATAGCTAACAATTTCCCATAGCGGGAATTTAGCAGTAGCAGCTTTGTTGATATGAAGCTTTAGAATCCAAGTGTGTCTTTTTACTGTAATTATAACTTTCATTGGTTCGTTCAGAATATTTTCTGATGTTGGATGTTGGTTGGACTTGCTAATAGTTTAAAATTGGTTGTTGACTTTTGGAGCTTGCTCAAGAGGCAGGAAGCTAAAGGTGGGCTGGAGTGAGTGGGAAAGTACGTGACAACATCTCTGAAATAGCAAAGCAAATAAAAGTTATGGAAAATATATTTCAATGAGCTGTCCACTTTGAGGTTTGGCAACTCTTAGACAAACATTAAAAAGCTGAATTCATCTACACCCACATCTTTAGCACTGTGGAAACTCAGAAAATGTTACTGAAAGCTTGATGACATTGCCCGGTGACAGTGTCAAAATGACATATGGGTATCACTGTCCAGACTCTGTTTACCATGAATTTATGCCACCGCTCACAAGTAAAATGCCAGTTTGGATGACTGCCATGGTTTAATAGAAGAGGAGGGATGCTGAGGAGTCGTAAAAATACAGAGGAATTACAAAAAATATCTGTGGCTCAATTTATCTTAACAAGCACACAAGCATTTTTTGCAGCTGACGGGATAATCCAGCTTCAGAGTTACTGTCACCTCATGTGATAAATCCTGCTGCTTTCCAAACATCCACAGAGCTCAGTGGATATGGAAACTCAGTCCACAGAAGAGAAAATTTCTGATTAAAGGCAACAGGGACACATTAGATTTGATTACATATCATACATGTGAGCCAAGGAGAAAATATTGAAATGCTATTAAACAGTGTGTTTGTGGGGATTTGTCTGTTTTGTTTTTGCTCAAATGCAGGAATTATGTTGTTAAAGTATTTTGAGATCTTTTACAAGAGAGAATAAAGTTTGAGAAACATCCATCTGTTATTCCCCTACTCTGGAGAAACAAACATGTACTTTTGCGTTGGAAAAAAAAAAAAAAAAAAAAGTTCCCTCTTAACTACAGGCTCAGACAGCAGATCCCCAGCAAAGTCACAAGCCTGCTGATTAGAGCCAAGATGTCCAGAGCCGGAGCCAAGTTGCTCTGATTCGACCCCACAGGCAGAACCCAAAGCTAACATCTGGTTGGGCCACTGTAGACTCAGCGTGCTTCACATCATGAGCCAAAAACCGACAGGACAACTCTGTGCCCAATCACACAGTGAAGTGGAAGGAATGTACTTACAGAGACAGGAAAAAATCTCACAGAGGGCCTTTTACTCTTATGTTACAGCCTGCTGTAAAGCCACTTAGCTGACTTCAGCTCAAACGTTGTTGTGCTGGATGAGCTGTTGAAGTAAAGGACACTCACCTGGTGAAGTTGCTCTGCTGAGCCTTCGTCCATCCTAAACCCAGACACAGGACCAAGGAAAGACCCCAGATGCTGCCCACATGCATCATGATGCAGCGTGCACAAAAAGTAGAGCAGACTATTGCAGAAAAGAGGGATGGTAGCAGGAGGCAAGAGGTGAAGGATAGACGGGGGAGGAGGAGGAGGCCTCTCGGTCAGGATGGGCGGAGAGAATAAATGAGTGAGGGAGAAATAACAAGGGGGAGAGAGTTCGAGAATGGATAAAGAGTCAGACAGAGATGCTGAGGGGATAACAACAGCTACAAAAGAGCCATGAGGGGGGATGACGTTAGTGAGGGGGAAGGGAGGGAGGGGAAAACTTTAATTAGAGCCAGATGTTTCTGGAAAATAAAGCTGGTTTTAATACAACAAAGGGGCATCTAGGAAAAAGAGGAAGAGGGGGGTAAGTCAGCGCACCAGAAGTTGTGGCTGAGACTCTGCAGATATTCAGCGAGTAAATCTTTCTGGAACTTCACGTAGATAGAAGTTTAAAGAAACTGGACATTTGGTTTGAATGACAGTCAGAGTCTAATCGTGAGTACCTGGATGGTCATTATGTTTGGTGCACAGGTGGAGCCACAGCCTGAGGCTTTGTGGGATCTAAGGCTCAACTCTCAGGGGGCTGTAAATCTTTACATTCCTAGACCTCTTGTGAGACCTTCAATTTACACACACAGAACACAATCCTCTCCTTATAAAAGCATCAGTTCTAACCATCCAGTTTAAACCAAACACAGGATTAAAAGGTGGCTCAAATAGGACCTAGAAAAGGAAAGACCATAAAACTAGTGACCTCCTCCCTGTTACCGTACTTCCCCAAGCCCCAGGGTCTCCTTTGGCTCCACAACATCTTAACCAGAAAACCTCTACTGCCCCGCAGTCCACTAAGGCACAAATAACACTGTAAGAAGAAGAGGAGGAGGGGGCAATGTGTCTCTGTTAGGATTCACCAATGAGCCAACCCTCTGGACTACATTACTGAGGCCTGAGGAAGGGATGCTGTTAGATTAATAAAGCTTTAAAATTAGTCACTTTCACAGTCTTAGAAAGTGAAGCACCTTGATCACAGTCTGAAGTCTGCAAGCAAGATGGCCAGCTCATAAAAACAAAGGGCAGAGTTACACGCCGCGTATGACTTTAGCAGATTTTTCACATTGAAGGTTGAAAAAAAAATGGTCCCCTTTCAAATACTTTTTTTTGCCAGCTTGAAATAGTTTTGTTGAGGACTTGGACTTTGACAGTTTTTGGGGCTCCAGTAGAGCAGGAGAAATAAGAATCCCCTGGTCCAGCTGTGCTGTGTTTGTATTAACTCCGAGTCCTGATAAGAGGCAGCACAAGCAGGAATGCAATGACGTGCTGAGTCTGCTGGGGGGCGGACAACGTCTGAGTGTGCAAGAGCTCTGCTATTATGTGTGGGAGTCACGGTGACCTTTGCACTCAGTAGGAATCCAAGATGAGGGTTAAAGTTTCTGCAACAACTGCAGACGAACCCTTCAAATTAGACGTACATTCCTTTTAAGAAAGTCAAAGGGAAGAGCAGTGGGGGAGTAGAAGACAGATTGGGGGCTGGAGAAATTAAGGGAAAAAAATGGAAAGCAAAGTCAAAATGATCTGACAGAAAGGGAGTTTGAACAAAGTGAGAGGGTGTTTTTTAACGCACCCCGCGGTTAGGTCATGTTCAGGTCTCTGGGAGCCAACAGATGACTTCTCAACACATTTCGTAAAATACACTCCTGTTATGTCCAAGATTAGATCTGTATTTATGATTTATAAAAGCATTTTTCAATCTGAAACTGCACGGGAAAGAAAAAAAACAAGCTAAAAGGAACGTGTGCATCTCTCCAAGAAAGTGACAGAGCAAAACTGACGATTTAATCACAGACCTGCGTGTCCTCTGTAAACACTGCTTCTCTCATATTCTCTCCCAAGTTTAGAAACAGTCTTCAAGTTTATGTAATGCTGTAGACTGTGGCTTCAGCAATAACTTGAATCGTAATTATATAAAGATATGACTGAAAATTATTGTATCCTGCTTTTAATTAGAGAAGTCCGACAAGGAATTACAGATGGAGCCAGGCACGGGAAAACTCCAGACAGTGAGTATGAAATATCAGCATTTGTCATCAGTTTTGAACAACAGCTGAGTTGCCTCAAGGAGCTCATGTGCTTCTCTGAGATTTTAAGAGGGAAGTCAACAAGGACTTAAATCGTTTTCCTGCAGATCATGAGAAAATGTGAATACCATAGATAAAAAAAGCTCACAACACCTCATTTGGAATCGACAGGAGGTTGCATTTTGGTGAAATCCAATAGTAAGGCTCATAAAACACCGTGGATGCATGTGTTATTCTGACAAAAGCTTAAATTGAGTGTACAGTATCACCCTTAATGCTTAAACACTGCCCCCACACTCATGGCAGCCGATCAGGAGACACATCATTAGTCTGAAGTCCAAAGCTGGAAATGACAAAATTATTCCCCCTCCACAATGGAAAGATAAATTGCGCAACAGACTCAAATATGCTGTGAAATTGTTGAAAAATGAAGAGCACAGCGGAAATTTGAGACATCCTCACAGTCATGCAGGCTTCAGTTCAACATGGGTGACTAATTGGACAAAAATGTGAGTACGGGATAAAGGGAATGCTACTACAGTGATGAACTCTGGTGAGGAGAAGGAGGGTCATTGAATGAAATAAACCTTTGCAACCTCAGCCACAAAACTTGACTCTTTTTATAGACTGTATGTGTTTTATTTATTTATTTTTGATCCTGAGGTTTGAGTCAATTAAAAATTCTAGATATTTGAATTCTTACGCAACTTGTAATCGTTATCCTGATTAAAATAGATTTCTTCCAATAAATTGTCTTTTGTTCTTCTTTAAGTTTAGGTAATTAAACTGGACATATTTTAGTAACTCAACTTAAAGTTGTTTTTAAAATGGTATCATCTATAAGAAAATTGATCCAGTTGAAATAAATTGATTTCACCAATCTTAGCTTCAGAGTACATCAAAAGTAAAAGGGACTTACATGAGGGGCACAATTGAACTGCTATCCCACACTATGGACTGAACCAAAGTTTGGCATACTCATAATGAAATGGTTAATTGAAAAGGTGTCAAAAGTCAGACAAGCTGACTTGAGGTGGGTTCAATTCCCCCAAGAGCAATAACCTGTGCTTCAGTCTGGTAGTCCGCTATCTTTATGGTATCAGCATGCAAAGAATCATGGCCTGCAAGGACACACCTGATTCTGTCTTCATGGTCTGGGAAAAGTAGAACAGATTTGTCAGTAGCTTTTGAAGGAGCCTCTGAATTAATAGCATTCAGCCTTCAAAGCTGCAGCCCCTGAAGTTGGACACAGTTACTGATCTACAATGTTACTGGGCTGAGATAAAATAACCCTGCCACTGTTGAAAAGTTAAAGATAACAACGGCTTCCTCCAGTGTAGCTTGATGTTTTGTTTAAAGCTCCTTTAGGCATTTTTTTATGAGTTGTAAAACAGCCATACACTTATTACAATGCCTCTTTTTGAAATAAAAAGGCAAACAAAACAGTGATCACTTTATTTCATTTTCATTAATGCCTGGGACTGCTGCTGGGGGAGTAGGTGTCAAATAAAGTGATTTACAGCCTGTTGCAGACACAGCAGTTTTATGGCAAAGATACACAGATGTCCATTGATAGAAAGCAGGATGAAGTATTCTGCTACTTCTGCTTTACATTAATGTTAAATCTTGTTTATCCAACAAAAGTTATTCATTTTAATAGCAAGAGCAGCATGTAACCAGTATGTGCTCCTAGTTGTGGTAGAGAGTGTAGAGAGCCAGAGCCATTGATTGAGCCGTTACATGTTTTAGCCCCATCCCTGACTCAAGCAGCTGTAACAATGTAACATGACATGATGATGGAAAGGAAGCCAAAATATGATAGAGGCAGAAGTAGATCCTCACACTTCATGACCACAGCCTCATTAGACAATATCTAAATTGTAAGACTCTATCATACATTTTGAATTTTTATACGCAATGATTTTATAATACGCGTATTTAATCATGAAATAGTTTGCATCTTTAACACTGAGTTTCATCAGTGGGTTAAGTTAAAGCTCTTAGTTGACATGGTGACACTTCGTGGTGAAACGCCGGTACTGCAACTTAGGTGTTGGCGCTACAGCTGTGTGAGAGGTGAGTGAAGGACTTCTCATTGTTCAATTCAAGTTAAAGGGGTTTCTTCTCGTTGACATGCATCTTTTTCCAACGAAAACGAAGGAACAGACCTGACACCACAGTATATTTTGAAGGCTTTGACGAAAACAGCTTTAGCTTATTAAGTCGGAGAGTCGAGGGCTCTGTTCAGTCAGGAAGTTTGCAGTCAGTGTTCTCAACCAAACGCGAAAATAGACAACGACTCACCAAAAACCCGCCTTTTCGTGTTTAGTTTTTTTTTCCTGCAAAACATGGCTGGCAGCAGGATTTCGGTAGTACAGGCCGATCCAACGTAACTTAAAGGGATCATGCAAAAACAGACTGAAATTTCTGCAGATTGACATACAAAGTAAGGACTAAGGAGAGTCAGATCCGGAACGTGCCCTTCAAAATAAAAGTAGCCAGAATAGGTCACTGGAGGATTTTTTTTGTATTGAAATTGCAGCGTTTCTGTGGGGTCATGACATGCAGAGGGATGGTCTTTCGAAAAGAAGCTACTAAATAAGCTGAAAAGGAAGGTAAAGCAATGTTTTCTCTGAAATACAGGTTCAAAAATACAGCAGTCCATCGTTTTAAAATAATGTATGTGTTTGATCCTTAAAGGGATATTCCGGTGTAAAATTAATTGTGGGTCAAACACACCGTAAGACCGAGTTAGACACCCCCTCGAGAGATGAATGTTGCTAACTGCTTGCTTCTCTAGTTACAGTAACTTTAGTAACGACCACAGATAGCAATACAGAGAGCCACGCGCTCAACCAAAAAGCCACTCTATAGCCACAAATAATGCTCAGAACAGCACCTAACTTCATCAACAGTACATATAGAGTCCCAGCCATAGTACTAACCACCAAACATCTTTTAACTTTGCCTAATTTCTTTAGCAAAGAGACTAAACACAACTCACCTACTCACTTCCAGCAGCCGCTTGTTTGTGGTCCATCAACTGCAGTAGGGTGACGCAGCTCAAGGAAGAACATTTATGATCATTACTTTATCATTTCCTCAGAATAAAAGTCATCATATTAATCATTTTGCACTGCAGACAGTAGTTCTTCTGCCTTAGCATCTCGGTCTGATTGCATTTCCATTAAGTAATAATCATAAATGTTCTTCCTTAAGCTGCGTCACCCCGCTGCAGTCCGTAATGGACTGGCCCGAGGTCTCGCTTCAAACAAGTGGCTGCTGGAAGAGACTGTGTGAGTTGTGAGTTTGCTATAGAAATCCGGCAAAGTTAAAAAGCTATTTGATGGCAAGTGCTATGGCTGGGACCCTATATGTGCTGTTGATGAAGTTAGGTGCTGTTCTGAGCATTATTTGTGGCTATAGAGTGGCATTTTGGTTGAGGTTTGTTTATGGCTCCTCAGAACGCTGTGTATTGCTATCCGGCGGTCGTTACTAAAGTTGGTGTAACTAGAGAAGCAAGCGGTCGGCAACATTCATCGCTAGAGCGGAGTCTAACTCGGTGTTACGGTGTGTTTGACCCGAAACTTAATTTTACACCGGAATATCCCTTTAAGCCTGAAGCATTTCATGAAGTTTTACAGTTACTGAAAATGTCAGATATTGTACCTCTATTAGAAAGGGGAGGCCTATGTTAGCTCAGCACATTAATTAGACTAAGTAATCATGCCATTTGTGAGAAGATAGGTGTCAGTGTGTGAGTATCAGCCAGGAGACGGAAATAAACTGATATAGAAACATGACTCTGAGAAGTGATAAACGCCGAAATGTACATTTTTATGGCTCCAGGTCTCCAGATATTTTGGAACACACATGTCATTTGGACAAATTAAATAAAGAGCTGTACCTTTGTATTGATAATAAATTTATACTTATTCATACAGGTCAGATAAGGTCTCAAAGTTGCAGTCAAAATTGCATCTGCCCATTGTTGCACACCCACAAAGCACATGAAGCACACACAAAAGTACAAGTTGTCACAAGTACTGTTTTTCCAATATACATATATTTCATGATGTTCATCAATATAATAAGACATTGATAGATTTACACTACAATTATTTTATGTACTTTAGTTTTTCATTCAGTCTCCTCTCCATTACGTTGAGTCAACCTTGTTTAGTTTCTAATCCCATACCAAATGACAGCACAATAAATCTATCAAAACAAAAGCAAAAGAAGATCAAATAAAAGTGAACACATTGCCCATGATCCTCCAGTCCTGTCCCTCCTGTAAGGCCAGACAACCAGAGGCAATGTGGGCCCTTATCCCAGAAACCCCAGTCCAAGAAAAAAAAATCAAAATCAAAATCTCTCCTTAAAAATAAACAGATTTAAACAAAAAAATAGATCTTGTAGATACAAACAGCAATCTGATGTAAACTGTTGAATCATTCTAAGCATTCTGGACAATTGAAGGTAAAAATACTCATTTTTCCCATTAATTTCCCATTTTCTTTACCTTTTCCCATCAGTGCTTACACACAAACAATTCAGTGACATCTGGAGTTATTACTAAACCGATGCAAAAGAAAAAACACAATATTTGGTTTAAAATAAAACACACATCAAGCAGAATATTGTGCATTTAAAGCCATCCAGTTAATGTTCAGAGACTCAAAAGGTTCCCTCCTTTTGCTGCATTTGGCCCATTTGAGGTGACGATAAATGTGGAAAACTCCCCTCTCTGTACACATGAATAATTCTCAATAAAGAAAATTTTATATAATATTCTTTATACTTGATTTATCCTAAATTCTAGTTATAATTCAATCTTGGAGGAGGCTCTGAGCACTTTTTCCCCATGTTGGCAACTTACTTTTCTAATCACCTCCAAATGAAGCTGAATGCAGCTTTTTAATGAGATCTCCGAACAGTTCTACAGGTTGACGTAAAAACAATATTCTCCTCTGAATCATGTTCCCATCCCACCAAAAAAAAAAGGGACAAATCACAAGAAAAAAGAAAAAGAAAGTGCCACGGTGTTAAAATATATGCACACTTCTTTTCATACAGACAATAAAGCAACAGAAAGAGAGAGCACTCACTTCATTTTCATTACTGTGATCAAACTGGTTGAGCACTCACGACAGTTGGCTTTATGGATTAATAACACAGAAGTCCTACCCCAATAAGTCGTGTTATTTCACTTCAGTCCACTGTGAATGGCTAAAAGGACCACTTTTTTAACCCTGTTTTTTTTTCTCTTTTTTTTCTAACCTGAAAGCCAATTGTACACTTTGACAATGTTCGTTTTGTCCTCATTAATATTTCGGTAAACTGCCAATACCTTAAACCTGAGGATATAGGAACCCCTTCCCCCAAAACACCCCCATAATACAACACCAAACAATGCAGATTTTTATAGCTTTTTCTTGGTTTATGTTTGCAGTTATTTCTTGTCTTTTAGTTAAAGAACTTGGCAGCACTATGGAGACACAGAAAAAAGAAGAGTTGTGCTATTATTAGTTACAGGATCATGTGTTTAAAAAGTTTTTTACTGATTAAAGAAGCTCTTCAAACCTGGAAACACATGACACTCAGGGAGACTGTATTTTGGATTTGAAGCATGCGGTCCTTATGTTTTGGTTTAATTTGCATATGTTTGAATGGCACACACAAAAGCCAAACTGACACACCATATCGACCGTGTGTGATTAATCAAAAGGTCCTGTAATTGTGGGTAAACAGGGTTTTAGTTCTTTGAAATAGACTTGGACGGTTTGGATAACCTGTTTCTCTTCACTTGTTTTTGATGGCATTTGGCAGCGTAAGCATGGAAATCTGGTCTTTGGTAAATCTTATGAATTTACTTTTGTTTCATTTGAGGAAAAAACTTGTTGGGAGAATCTGGGGGGGTTGGGGGTGGGTCTGTTTAAGTTTGGGTCCTTTTGACTAGAACTAGCTGGTAGATCTGCAGCTTCCTGCTCGTGTACTTCAGTGGTCAAGGAAACGACATGCCCTCGCTCTGAGGTTTAAGCGGCCTAATCTGTCGGGATAAACCGGGGATATTCCAGAGACAGAGCTATTCTAACACACACATGCACACACATTGATGCACCCAATCACACATAGTAACACACATACACACTGTAGGAGTCAGAATCAGAGAGTTTAGCAAAGGGGGGCAGGCTGGTCTACTCAGCTGGTGGGTAAGATGAAAGTCATACCGGGAGGAGACAAGGCTACTGAGGCTTTACACACGCTTATAAATATTCATGGTGGTTCGTGGTCTTCCTATCTTCCTGGAGACTGAAGCCTTCTATTTGTTCTGAAAGTAAGATTTTACATTTAAGGATCTTAAAGATTAGGCATTAGTCTACAAGTTTAAAGTTTCCTCTTGTTCTTCATCTACAGGCCTCCACACTCACTTTCAGAAAGGCTCAGTTTGATTGACTAACTTAACTCCAACATTTTCAGGGCATGGGTTTTCCAGAGCCTTGAGTAAAACTCTGTAAATAAAGGTTAAAAAGCCCCTAATACACCATTTTGTGAGGATTTGTAGTTGGTGTCATCACATCTCTGTGTGTACAAGGCCTTAGTTCTGTAGGGTCTTCAAACATCATCCTGCTCTCCTGCTCATAAAGTAGCCACGAAAGGTAGTATGCCAGCAAATGTAAAAGTCCTGTTAAGACCAGACCAGCGAGTGCACCAGTGAAAGAAAGAGTTACAATAAGGACAGAGGCCTCTCCCTTGTTGCTTGGCAGTGTATAACGCACGGAGCTGAATTACAAAAAACACAGCAGACAGAGGTAAATTGTACTTAACGCACACTTCCCCTTCACCTGTCTGATTCACACAAAAATATACTATAATAAAAAATATAATCTATTTTATTTAAAAAAGAAAAAAGGCCTTAACTATAGGGAGAAACACTGAGACAGAACCACTGCGCTAGCAAAACACTCATCTTCAGAGTGCTACTACATTTAAAATCATTCCTTTTTTCTTGGCATGCTAAATATTTGAGCCTACCCCAAAGTTGCTGAACTTGAACTCATCTGTCAATTTGTCATTTTTCTTATTAGCCTCTGTCCCCGTTCTTGGATCTGCTAATAAGGCTTAATCGTTGAATTATTTTTTTTGTATGTGCTCTTCTTTTATGTGGAGAGGTTTTGCTGCTTGAGGATCTCTTACGGCCGGGCCACTGACCAGCCGGGCGGCGCCATCAAAAACAAGGTTTGTTTGTGCATTTTAAACAGATTCTTTTACCCCTGCGGTCAGACGCTCCCTGACACAAAGTAGAAGTGTGAAGGAGTTTCTGACAGGAAATGTTCCACAGTTACCAATAGAAGTGACTGGAGACTAAGGCTTTTCATTGCCCATATAGGCCGTGGGCCGTTGACAGACAATTGTCAATATAAGCATCAGCCCCGTTTTATCTTGTTTTACAAGCCTGTGTCCACAGTTTTGCGCTAATGACATCTCCACAGTATACTGTAAGTAGAGGATAACATTGGTAGTATTACAAAATAAAATAAATTGGACAGATTGAGTTTAATTCTGTCTATCCAAAACTTACCCTTACAGCTATTAACTAGAACTATTATCTCCTATGGTTTGTATGACGTTTTCGACACAAGTTTCATCGCATGTATATTTTTTCTTTTGAAAGATACTTACACTTACATGTGCTACGGTAAGACCATTTGCACTAGACTGCAATGAAGGAATGTTTTCGAAATAAGACACTACGTAATATAGAAATAAAAAAGAAACATCTACAGACATTGGTCCAACTGTACTATGGCAGTATTGAAATAATCCGAAGAAATTGAGGTGTTCAAGCATGCTGAGATACAGAACAGGGTTTGAAAGTTAAAGACACATAGACGAATAGATGGAGGAAGAGAAATGACAATTCGAGGGGGGCAGATGAAAAGGTCTCTGAAAGATGATTTTTAGGGAGTAGTTTAAAAATTCATGCATTATTTTTAGACTGATCAATAACGGTAGAAGAAGACGCCAAAACTTGGATTTCGATCGCATCAAGTTACAGAAATCTTCAGCTCAAGTAAGAATAATTCTACGGGCAGTTTTGTTGATATAAAAGCTAATAAATTTCAGTAACTTTATGCTCCTTTTTTAAAGTCCAAGTTTTAGTTCTTGGGCTTATCTTGGAGCGTCAAACGTGATGCAGATAGACTGGATAATCGTTGATTTCCCTTCTTAAACGGAGTTAAACTCCAATGTGCAAAAACACACCAAAAAAGAGATCGTAAGCTGGGTAACAGACAGATGATGATTACATGCAAGATACACACTTTGATTAATAGGCAGTATTTAACGCTGAAGCATACTTAAAATTAATACAAAAATTAAAAAATACAAAATGCACACACACACGCACACACACCTACAAAACGGTATATATATCAGAATAAAACTCTACAAAGAACTATATATATCAGTTATGTAACAATTATCGCCAATCATTGTTTCCTTTTCTGTTGTTGCATCGTCACAAGTGTTTGGTTCTCGTTATGGCAGGTTAGAAAAGCCAAGAGGACCCAGAAAGGAGACGGGGCCACACACTCACAGGACAAATATCGACAGGGGGTCCAGAGGCCAGGTGGTGGAGGTGGGGGGAGCCATGGGGCCCTGAAGGGTTTCGGGGTGTTATATCGAGGCTAATCTGGGGGATATATGTAATAATTACTTTCTCATGGTTAATTTTGTCATCAATTTTGAGGGTTTTTTTCTGTAGCAAGGAAGTTGGGATTAGACTGGGGTAGGAGCGACTCTTCTTAGGTGCTGAAGTACACTGTGGAGAAAAGAAAGGAAACATGATAAGATTGCTAAGCCGTCAAACCAACACTATGATTTCAATATGTGCAATATGTTAAAGACATTTCTGTCCTGGTCTAACAAAGCAACAATCAAAATCTATGTACGCCAAAGCAGTTGAAAGGATCCTTACCAATAATGACGATGAGGACAATCACGCATATCACACCCAGGATAATCATCATCTGCAGCCAGTGCAAAAGAGAACACAACCATTAGAAAAGCAGCCAACTTTGACATAAAACAGAGCTCATTGTGTAGCACAGGTCAAGTTCTCTGCCTTTATCTTTATCATCCCAGCTTATATATTTGAAACTTCTAAACCTTATTTAAATTAACCTCAGTGACCCCAAACTACAGCACCCTTACCCTTATTTCAACACTGCTGCACAGCATAAAATACCTCATTTAGCAGCACAGACACATTTGTGTTAGGCTATAACCATGTAGACAGTATAGGAAGTTTTTTAATGTCACAATGAAAACTGAAAACACAAATATGTTCCCAGTATGCACGCCTGCATGTCCTCACCTTGGCATTCTTCCACCAGTATTTATTCTTCAGTTTTGCAGCGCTGGTCTCAAACTGAGAGGCTCCAGCCTGCAGGGCATCAGCCCTGTCGTCCAGTTCTGACAGCTTCTGATCACGCTCCAGAACCTTATCCACATTTACACGCATGATATCCACCACCTGGAGAGAGACGCACAGAGCAATGTAGTGTATCAAGACAGGATGAGTCAGTCTGTCCAGCAGGGCAGAGCCGTACTGTTAGATCTGGTTCGGATGTTGTTTGTATAGTTTCACAGAGAAGTAAATCTCTGATGATGACTTGTGTTTTTTTAGTTTGTGTAGTATATGAGCAAGCAGAGAAAACTGTAAGAAGCAAGTGACCAGTCAGTGATAATTATTGTCAGTAAATGAGCCTGACCAGATGACTTTGGGTTTGCATTTGCAGTGGGGATGTGGCTGTGGAGCACTCACCTCATCCACTTGTGCCTGTGTCTGCTGCAGACGGCGGTTGCTGGTGAGGTTGGGAGGTTGTTGACTCCCTCCCTCTGCAGGGGCTCCAGCTGGGGCAGACCTACAGAAAAAATATAACAACATTTAGTTATAATGTAAGGGGACCCAAAGTGAATGAAGTCTGTGAAACAACAAAGTAACAAAAGCAAGACTGACAGTTACTACACTTGTATAAATATGGTGATGTGGTTAAGGAGAGTGTGCAAAGTTTTAGTCTGATCCTGCTTGCACGTTTTAGTTTTCCACCAAAATAACAACAAGGAACAATCCTTTAACTCTCACAGTGAACTGCAATAGCATCGGAAACACTTTGTTTCACTCTAAATTTGGGTTTCCCACCTCCTGCATTATGATATGTCATATTATTCTCATGTACCCTCAGACGAAGACATCATTCTTGTATGGTCACTAGTAAATTTCTCGGAGGATGATTTGTTGTTTTAACTTGTTCATATCTGACAAACTGGGGTGTTTCGCTGCAGACCGTACAAGCAGCAGTGCTGGGAGCTATAAGATAATGGAAATGACTCCGTTTGGTACTTCTCTGTGTACCAGAAGCAAAAACTGCTTACACTTATAATCAGATCTTATTTGGAGCAGTTCCATATGCTATCTCTGGAGAGTCCAGATAATTACCTTCACTCACCAAAAAGGAATCAACTACTGCAGGCTCTGCAAAAGTCATGTAGATTTGTCATGTCATGTTGTATTGTGACCTACATAGACTTATTCTTTTAGAAGCACTCTGCACCGATAATGACCTCAGGGAGAGGCAGGCAGTTTAAGCGACAGTGTCATGTACCGCTGAAAAGTGAAAGCTCCGTGAAAAATGCCTCGTCCTTTTGTTAACACTTGCTTTTGTGACTGCTCTTTGCTGTGGGGGGAAACAAATACACCAGCGATATATAAAAATATATCAACAGCAATTTATTAGAATCAGTTCAAGAGTTGATGTGAACTCACAAGAAACAAATTACTTCTGTTTCACTTATTTTATTTCCACTATTCCGAGTGACATTAATAACCTTATTGAACAATGACCCGTGTTTGTGAGGAGTTTAGGGAACACAGAGGAAAAGCTGCTCAACAGTTGGTTGTACCAGTTTAACCATTAGTCAGCAAAGACTCATCAAAACTACAAAATACAGAATAGCTGAGTCACAACTGCATGTACAAATCTGAAGAATACTCAAACTCATAAATTTCACAGATTTGCATACAGGTGTGATTGTAGGGTGTGATGCTCAGACAGGCTTTGTTTTGATTCTAATAATCCTACAAATGCCTGATTGAGTGCATTTCATTTTTTGGAAGGGATATCAATTATGGATATGACTTCTGTAACAAACGTCTGCTCCCTGGAAACATGCCCCAAACATAAACTAAGTTATTTCTGATTATATTTTTCTTTTTCTTTATTATCTCCAGTTCTTTTTTGGGTTTTAAGACAGGATGGAGAAACACTTTTTACAGTACTTTTCACTGCTGATTACACTCTGGGTTTTAGGGAGATTTGCAAATCATGAAAAAAGTTGTTCATTGAAAAGGTCAATGTGACCCTGTATATCAAGACTGATGCAGAATAGACATGAGGCACAAAGTTAGCACAAAACAATACGACTGATAACGCAGAATGAGTTTACATACATTAAGCTAGATTCTTTTCAAAAAGATCTCAAATGATTTCCTCTTATTTTAAACAACTTTGGATGCACAATACCCATATGTACAACTGTTAAAGTGATCCAATAATCATACGCACATGATCCCAACTTACATGATCCAACAAGTTTCAACATTTCAGTCATTTAACAAAGCTGAGAAATGTAGCAGCTACCATATTTTGACTTTCTTTATCTTAAAGAGAACACGTTTATAATTTATGGTAGAATCAAATGCTGCTGAACTTGTTGAAGGTCTGTTTCTACAACTGAATGTCACAATCAGACCAACAGTACAGCTCAGTCGAAGAGACTCTTTGTGTTCTTTGCATTGAAAATAGGCTGTGCTGTCATACAAATCTCTGTCAATGAGAGCCAGAGTGAGTAAGCAAAAGTACGTTATTGTTCGTCCCTAATAACACTATATCTTAAATGACATTTGCCTTAATTAAAGAGCAATGTCAGAATAAAATTTGAATTACTTCACAGTTTTATGTATCAGCAAATACAGAGCACACTAACAATGTCATGAATGCATCTTGAAAACACTCAAATGTTTGCATACAATGTGTCCTAGCTTTGGATTCCAAATGAAGTAGACTGCATATCAATACAGATTGATCAATATTGCAAAGCCATGGAAGATTCTAGCAAGGCTGTAGTATTTCTTTTGACAAATAAGCCTTCGTTGTAACCACACTTCACCACTGGTGTGAGGCGAAACTGTGTATAAAGGTCACCTTTACACGCTCACACATCACTAATCCTCTAACAACAACAAATCCTTTGAATAGTTGGCCTGATGGTGCTGGTGGTCCCTGTCAGCTGCCAGCCAGACGTAACAGAAACTAGCAGCGGAAAAAAAAAGCTATCACTGTAAACTACTATAATGAGTTTTAAATAATTACAATAAATAATAAGAATAAAAAACATTTGATTTAATAATCGACTAGAACATATATTGATAAAATGTATGTTCAAGGGCAGAATAGTTAGAAATAATCAAATGTGTTGATGCAAAGAAGGGTAAAAATTTCACCCTCTAATACAAAAATGTAATAACTGTCTTCTTTCTCTCACTCGCCAGCATGGAGTATCACCACAGAGCTGTCATGTGAGCAGAGGATCACACTATCATCACTTCTGAACTGGCACCAACCAGGAAGAGCTGCTAGAGCTGTGACAAGATTTCTCACCAGTTTCACATCCTGTGAACACGGCCGACTGTGTCTGATGGAAGACAAACTGGGGGCTCCACGCCCAGGTGAGACAACTGTGTCTGATCTGTGCGTAGTTTGGTGCATGGTTTCACTTTCAAATGAACATGATCATCTTGATCTGGTCTGGAAACCTTTCTAAAAATTGGGGGTTATATCCATTTTTTTAATACATGTCATGTTTGCAGTCAACAGGTATTCATTTGTGGGGGGAATTTAACCGTTTTGTAGACCGAGAATCCAAGACAAACTGTGAATTTACCACTGTCTTAACCAGCAGATGATTGTTTTTGTTTGGAGGTATCATTTTCATCACAAACAGGAATTCCCTTTACATCTGAAAATAATGAAGGAAACTCTACAAACATGTTGGGCTCCCTTAGTTTGCATCATTTTTTGAGAATGATGTCAGGAAGAGTGTCAAATATATTTTACCTTCTCCTAATTCAGAGCTTATGTAAAAGTCTGCGACAAAGGTCTGTGCAAGGTTTCCCTTATAAAATGAACATGCATTCCAAATAGGATCAATCAACACAATAAAAGCACATAGTTTAAAATTCAGCCTGGTTGCTTAGCTGCTTGAAATGCTTATGAAACTAAAGGGATTGTGTTTGGGATGGCCCCTGTCATGAATAAGCACGCTGTCTGACTTTGAGCACTGGAGAGCGACATTTCAGCACTGGACAGCGCCACAGCAGCTCAGACCCGAAACCGTCTGATCGCAGCCTCACTTATAAACCAGTCTGTTTGATGTTACCGAGCTGGGTCCTAACCCACAACATTCACCTTTTTCCTTTCCTCGCCATTTACACACACGCACATCATCAGGCCTACACGGTGTCCTGTGAAACATCACGTTTCACGACAAGCACGACGGGCCTGTAAATACGATGAGAAGCCTACAACACAGAGGGCGGGGAGGCTCCTCATGATGACAGCCATGATTTTAGTGACAAATGAAGCTTATTGCCCGCAGAGGGAGTGTTAACAACCATTTTTAAAGGCATGTCGTGAGTTGGCACCATTTTCTTTGGAGGTTTGAACTGCTTGCTATGCAAAAAAAAAAAAAACTGTCGGAGGAGACAGTCGCTGTTATCTTTCCCCGGTCTGCCCTTTTCTATTGACTTATGTCTTGTGGAAAAACAGAATGGGTCGAATAAGGGACCTGAAGAGGGACATTTCCAGGGTTTATTTGTCCCTGACAAAGCAAACAACCTGAAATATAGTGAGATATATAGCTGTCCGCCCTCGCATGACAATCGACGACATACAGTAGGAGGCTAGGCTATCCCCACCCCCCACTGTAGGTTGCAAATATCACGTAAACTAGGCCTAAGCCTACTTCAGAGCTAATAATATCATGGTCTATAAGACGGTCTATGGAGTATCTGTCGAAAAGAGTCGACGCAGGAACATGTAAAACATCATGTCCTTGCTGTTTCAAATATGAGCCTCATCATCACCTGACCTGTAAAGACGAAAAATGAGGGTCTGGAAATGTTCAGTACGGACAAAAACTGCTTTATTGTGGAGGATATTTCCCGTTATGTGGCTTCAATTAGCCTGTGGGTGATCGCACAGACGGTGTCCTTTTCAGAACCAAACCAGTCCAAACTGGAAAAAATGTGTGCGTGCCTGCTCCGGTGAAAAGCACGCGACGACTAAATTAAAACACAGACGCACGGTATGGAGCACCTTTACCGAATAAACGTCAAAATACAGCTAATTACGCATTTATTGACGGATAAACTCGTTGTTACCGTAAGCTCCAAGGTTAGGCCAACGCGTTAGCCTCTACATGTACGTTAGGTCAAATTTGCGGAGTAAATGGGCTTAAAAACTGGATTCATCCGCGTCTAATAACAATGACAAACGAGCGAGCGTGACGGCAAAGAAATAACCTCAGCATTTAATGACGAGAAACACTCAGAAACATTCAGACAGCGTAAATCCCCAACACCCTGCCAATATCAGCCATGAAGGCGACACTCTAATTCGTTCACAAATTGGGATTTAAGGGCGAGGAGGTATTAAAACGATGATGTACTTACATTTTCCTGGTTGTATTGGCTGGACAGCTGTGCTGAAATCCGGACTGGAAATGTTAGCGCGTGCTAAATGGCTGGCAGATGGATGTGGATTGCCTTGTGCGCTCCTCTCTACCCTCTGGCACCCTTTGGTTGGTTATTGTGGCGCTTCCTTTCCCTGCACAGCCCAGGAGGGTTTTTCTCTGCCTTGTATCAGACGTGCAACAAGAAAACAACAACTGTCCTTCTTCCTATTTCTACGGTGATGCGGTACACCTGCAGGCTAATATACAGGAGCCTGGCGCTGTCAGGGTCCGAGCAGTAATGAAGGTGTAATAAACAGCCGCCTGGATTAGGTGGACAAAGATGGCTCTGTGACGTCAATGAGGCGAGTTTCATGTTGAGATGGGTGGCCGGACACTTCAATCACACACGTTTAATGACCGAGACAGCGCTGCTTTTGTGTGGAGATGCTGTTATAAGGGCTGTGCACATGTGTTATTTCCAGACATTACATGCCACGGTGCCGTTTGAGCTTAAAGCTTCTTTAAAGGAGCTTATTTTGATTGCAAGGCTGTGTGTCAACAAAATGGCGTTCCTCGAAAGGGGGTGTGGCAAGCTTCGCAGTATAGATACCTAGTTATCACTGATAATAAATATATACAGGCAGAGTGAAAATAATACAATTAATAACAAAAAAATATTTAGATAAGGATGTATTTTTGATTTATCTGACTTGAAAAAATGAATTAGTTTAAGAATGGTACTGTAGATTACTAAAGTGTTACATAATTTATAGGGGTCTTCTGGGACGTGTGCTCTCCAGCTTGGCCTTTACTGCCTCCTGAAGAGGGGTTTCCCAGGATAGGCAGAAGCAGTCACAATGAGTCATCATAGAATGATTAAGAAAACAGAAATTTTGTGCTGTAGTTTGATGATTTCTAAACATGAAATACAAAATGTTTAAATCCTGAAATCCTGACATGAACATGTAGACCTCTATCATCATTTTAGGCTTTCTTTGTGCACAAAAGCAAGGACTTAGATGTTTGTGTGTTTTATACATATGTATTTCTGAGTAAAAATTGAGTTTTATTAATATGAGTGGGAATTTACATCTTGATCTATGCCAGGCAGGCATTATTAACCCTAGAACACTATCACTAAAATTAGTAACACCATCACTATTGCCGGATGATTTTTACCTTGAATAATATACCCAAGAAAAAGTACTTGTCATCAAAATGTATCAACATAGGACAATACATGACAAATTAAAGTAATTTTCTTGTATTTTTAACGGTGCAATGTCCAAAGGGAGGGAGAAAAAGTGCCATCAGGGGACCAAATAAAAATGCAACAAAATAACTGAAATTAGGCATTCATGAACAAAAAATTCCTAAAAAAATGAATATATATAGAAACTGTAAACTTAGTTTCTTTTCCACCCATTCCTGGGGCTTGTGAGTCTTACTTGGTGTCGACTCAGGGTCCTTGGCACAATAGAAGGCTGCAGGAGATAACCAAAATATGGCATATTTTGAGTGAGTAAAAATGACCAGCTGACTAAACTATTTCTTATCACCATATGAATTCCCTTAGGATCACTACTTTTTGATAGTTATTAATCTCTGTCACACACGGGGAAAATCACCCGAACATGTGCCTGTAGGAAAAAGTGGGTTTTGGATCAGGGAAACAAATATGCTTTCAAAGATGTCAAAGGCAATGCTGAAGCTACCCAGGGACCCATTATACTCAGACAAACACAACATAATGAAAATCACGTTAAGATGTTTGGTCGGGTGAAAATCACCCAGCGATAGTGTTCTAGGGTTAAAATAGGTTCCTTTTTTTTAAAGATTAAGAATTGGTATGATTATATCTACACCCTTAAGACACCAAAGGCCAGAACTGCACTCGAGTACCAAATATTATTGATAACCTGATTACTGATCGACGTGTGTGCTCATTCAAGGCTCCATTTCATCTTCAACATGTCTGTACGATTAAAGAAGAAATACACAAAATGGATCCAGTCCATAATGCAGACATGATGGAAAAGCTACTTCCTCATCGATTAAGATTGTGATAATGAATAGCTTAAAGTGTTCCATTTTCTGTGTCTGAATTCTGAACCTTTGTCTACAGTCATATTGGTGAAAAATGCAACATCATAATCCTGCCAATGTTGGGAGAGATCCTTCATTGCACAGTGTTGAAGTAATCCCCACTCAGGTTAAATCCAATCACTCAAACATCCCACGACACATTGAACCCACTTAACCCATCACCCTCACCTAACACATCTATTGGCTGTGTTTGAAGCATTAGTCCCAAAGGTGCAGCTCAATCACACAGGCTGGAGTCTTCCTGAGTTTAAAAATCCACCCAGTTTCAATACTAAATTCTTGGTTTGGTCAAGTTTTTTTGTGTGTTTCTTGTCCGTTTTGGTGAAAAATTAGGACATTATTTCACTTCTTTCTTTACAATGATGTTAAAAGTCAAAGGCTGTGTTAGTTGCTCTGAATGTGAATAACTTTGGTCATGTTGCTCATCTCATTCAAATAAAGTATTAGATTATTCTTTCCCATCATCTTTGAGAAGGTATCCGGCTGCGTAACATGATTTGTACTGAATGTAAAACCATCCAAAGATAATAATAAAGGTTTAAATATCAAGGTTTTTCTTCAGCTTCTTTTTTTCTTTTAATATCCTGAGCTGCTCTTTCTTTTATCCACTTTCAGCTCAGTTTAAAAATCACCTTTTTGACATACTTGCGACTCATCTGCTAATCTTTGAGGCACTATTTGACATATTTTATAGCTAATATTATCATACTCATATACTTGCTGAGGATTCGGAAATAATCATCTTTACTCTGTATGTACAGACCAGAATAAATCGTATATTTCCATAAAAATATAAAGGTTCAGATTGTGAGTTCTCAGGTTGCTGATTTAGGGTGTATTTTCAGAGCCCACATGGTGGTGCCACAGGACTGTTTGGTTTCATCACTTCCATCCCCAGCAAATATGTGCAGAGGCAGCAGCCCCCTGCCGAGCCCCCCTCATGATTATGACCTCAGTGACATTTTGGAGCGTAAAGGTTAGCATGTCTGACATTGTTGGTGTATCTGCAACTTCAGGTACACTTTTCTGTTGTTGATTTTGTTTTACTGATTTATATCCTATTTTACTGCAAACCAGATTACGCTCAATTTTATAATCCTGCATAATCGTCCACTGATTTAAAAAATAAGCTTTTGAGTAGTTGATCTCATGGCTTCAGACGTTCTGTGTAGAAGCTGTAAACTGACTCATTGTCATGTATAGCCTGTAATGATCGCTCCCTCTCTGTGGATGAGGCAAGAATTGTAATGTGTGAGAGATACAGGTACACCCCTTGTATTGAACAGCTCAGACATGCACATCTTGATCTATAATTTATCAAAGCGTCAAGCTCTGACTTTACTTGAAAAACAGAGGCAGACATGACCTCCCTGCTCAGCAAGGCTTCTGATCTGAAGTCCAAGTCTGAAAGGCTGTAGAGATATTCCGCTCAAAAAAGGAGAAATCTTGGCATAACTATAAAAGGATAACATATGAACCTTTTGCCAGTTTTATTACCCTTTTTTGCTTTAAATTTATTGGCATATATATCTTTGTCACTTTTGTGGGTCAGGTTGAAAGATTCACTCTTTTCCTTTAAGGTTTTCTGAAACATTTGAGCATGAAACTGAGTCAAAGATGTTGAAACAGAGCTGGGAAATTTATTTTTGTTTAAAAGTGCCTTTACAGTACCCCATGAGGTATACAGTGTGATAAGGAGAGATGTGAGGCTGTCAACGACTGACATAAGATTCTGTGTGGGTGATGTTATTGTCGAGTGGAGTTACACATAATGTATGACAAATGCTGTTAGTATCTCAAATTCATGGCACAATCTAGCAAGAACAAAACAGGATGATGAATCCAGAGTAATGCTGTATATGATAAAATCCTGACATTTCATTGTGAGGATTTCAGTCACAGTTGTGGTCCTATTTTGCTTTTATTCACATTCAAACATTCACAAGCGCGTGCTGCACCAAAACTATCCCTTAGCCACTCAAAAACCTGAAGCACAAACATCTAAACATTCAAATAAAACATCCCTGGTGAGGCTCTCCACTTTCTAAGTAAACCTCTCTACATATTGCTTATTTTTTTGGATTCATTGGTGCAAAAACTTTCGGTGACAATTAACACGAACCAAAAGTAAACCCACACACACCTGGGACATCACTAACTTGTTTTGTGTAAGGAGTGATATTGCACTGCTTTTCAACACACAAAAGGTGTTTCACTGACATCGGTCAGTACACCCACGACACAGGCACCCATTGTGGGGTAGAGGTGGCCAGCTCCATGGCCTCCTCTACGCCTTTCACGCTCTCGTCCACGTCGTTGTTGACGAGAACCACGTCGAAGAAATGTCTGTATGTGGCCGCAATGGCGTCTGACTCTTTCTGGATCATCAGGAGGTTTTCCGTCTAAGATACAAGACACAGAGAGTCAGCTGCTGTTACCAAATGAATCAAATGTTTTTAAGTCATAAAGAGATTTAAGTCAGATAGAGATTTAGCACCTGGGCAGCTGTGGTGGTTGGAGCGATGAACACAACAAGAGGTGCAAATTCAGCAGTCCGCAAGACTTTCAAAGTCTGCAGGAAAAAAAGGAGAGAGAAAAATATAAAATAGATCAGTTTAACAAAAACAGCATGTGTAGGGCATAGACTATATATTAAAATGGACACCAACAGTGTTCACAAACTGTGAATTTAAAATGTTTACAGATCCTCCTACTGACTGGCTTCAGTATAAACCCTGATTTGTCCATTTAACAGATGACACGAGTCAAACAAAAAATAGAACACAAACACACAGAAAACATTTTTTATCACGCACGGTATCAGTAAATATAGCTAGTTTTTATCATACAGATGCACAACTAATGATTAATTTTTTTGTATGTTTTTTAGTTATTTCAAAAGGTGATAAAATGACAACCCTATTCAATTACGGCCTCCTACACCATTCTTTCCAGGAAAACACCTAACTCACTGCACCTTCTGAAACTATGAGTGTCGGCTTTAACCAACACAGAAATCTGTCCTGGTGTGGCCTGTACTGACCTGAGGGATCTTTGACATTTATACAACAACATTTACAAGTTAGATTTTTTATATATTTTTTTAATTTTCCTTATGCTCTCTGCACCATTACAGCATATGAACAGATCTGAGAATCAAACATGATGTGAAGGTGTATTTCCGTACTTTTTAATAAATCATTTTTAAAAGTATTTTAAACTATTCAAAAAGCCATTAAAAAAACCTGCAAGTGATTGACAATTAAACTCTGGCTACTGGGATGTATATGTTAAATTTTTCCAGCCTCCCTGTTTGGTTGTTGAGCATGTATGTACCAACCTGTGGCTCTATATCCAGCACAGCGATTTTGCCCTGCTCATGGATCTTCTGGATGGTCTCGATTTTGGTTCCAAACATGTTTCCCTGAAAGCTGCCGTACTCCAGCAGTTCGTTTCCTGTGATGCACTTGGTCATGTCCTCAGTGGAGATGAAATAATATTCCTGCCCATTCTCCTCGTCCTTACGTTGCGGCCTGGTAGTGTCTGTGTGGTAGATTTAAAACTCGTCAGACGGACAATTCATCAGAAGACGCCACTCATTGATGAGAAAAAGAAAATACAGTGTATGGAACCACTTACGAGGGGCAGGGTAGGAAAACTTCTCCGGGTATTTGGTCAACAGTGCATTTTTGATATGGCTCCTTCCTACACCAGGTGCCCCTAAAAGAAGACACATTTTAATTCACAAGGAAATTTTTAACTCTCATGTCTTAACACTTGGTTGTCTCAAAGATTCAAATTAGCCAAAAAATACAAATCTCTTTCCAGTTCTCTCTTGAAACTTACATCTCTTATCTCAAAGTTGAAATAAACATGTACTTAAAGGCATGTGAAAGAAAAAGATCCCTGACTTTCTGAGAACAATTGTATCATTCTGAAAGCAGGAAAAATACTGCACTGTCTCATTTAATGCTGACTGTTTTTGGACTCTTACCAATTAGCACCAGTGTTTTCCTATTGAAGGCAGGGAGCTGAACAACCTCCTCATAAGAAATCACATCCAGCTGGTCAAAAACTGCAACAGAATGAGTTTATTTTAGTTAAACTGTCGAATGAAGAAGAAAAATGACATGTGAAGAGGCCTTGATTGCAGAGAAGCACTCACTAGAGCTGTGTTTAGCCAGGTACTTGTCTTTGCACTTCTTCTTCTTTCCAAACGGGCTGCAGGACTGGCTGCCCTCCCTGGATTTGCTCTTACTGGCCACCCTCCTGCAGTGCGAGAGGAGATTTAGAATAATCTCAGTTCTTTGGTCTATGCTGAAGGACAAGATGTCAGTCTTTGTCATGTCAGTGGGACATGTCTGACAGAGCTGTTTACCATTCCTGCAGCTCAGGGGAGGGGATCAGTCCGGCAAAGTCAGCAGCACTACTTTCCACCCGTCCCTGCCACCAGTTCGGATCCTGCTTGTTGATAATCTGGATGATGTCACCGGTTTCAAACTTTAGGCCTGCCTCTTTGCAGGGAATGAGGTCATCCTTGGTGGGGTCATAGTCAAACTGGGCTCTCATGTACATCTGCAGATCAAGAGTTCATACAGCAGAGTTGTATTCTTGAAAGGAGGAATCAGGAAATTCAATGTGCCCCTATAAATCCATCACCCACCCGAGCCAGCTGTTACAAATTATATTTAATATACCCGTTTGTTACGAAAATCTATGAGAATAGTCCTGAAAACTTTTTACTTGTAAACTTTTCTATGCTTTAAAGCTCCTGTGCGGACCTTGGGTGTCAATTTTGGCACTCCCTGTGGACAAAAGCAATCTTTGCTTATCTTTTTCTCTGCATGCTTCAGTAGTGTCTCCTGACAAAGAAATGTTATTTATTGTGAATATTTAATATGTACAATGTTAGAACAGGGTATATTTCATACACATAAAAAAGTCCTATTAGAAGCTCTAAGAAGGAATTTTCTTATATTCTCTACCACTTGCTTTCAGAATTACTTGTATGATTCAGAGAAATTACAAGTGAAACACAAGTGTTTTGAAAGAAGAGAATTCTTTTGTGGTTCACTCATTCTTTGTGTCAAAAAACACTGAAGTCACTGTGATGTTAAGACAGTTTTCACATTAGGGTTTTAGAGCCTGATATGTAACAATGACCTGAAATTTAATTAAAAGAAAATAAAAAATTTTAATAATGTAATTTAATAATTGGTGAATAAAATAGCAAGATGCTGAGCCCAAAATGTAATAACTTTTTGTCCAAAATGTCGCAAGTTGTAACATTATGGGTCAGTAATTACATTTCGGGTTTTATTACATTTTTTTAATTACATGTCAGGCTCAGAACTTTTGTTACATTATTAACCAATTATTACATTTCGGGTCATGATCACATATCCGACTCTAACAGGGCTTTAACTAATATTACTTTTAACAAGAGTTTCCAGACAGTGGCAGTACAAAGCTAAACTCATGTTGTTAGTAGGAAAGTGTAACTTTGAATGTTTGCCCTTTGGCTTATTTTGGACAACACATACCTACAGTTCCTATCTGAATGAGATTTCCCAACACATAAATTTAAATTCTGCTAAATCTTGAATAGAAAATGTACTCTTAAAAAAAGTTTAAATGCTCATGATGTGATCTTGGACAGCTTAGCTCTTGCTGTAAGAATAAACTATTTACTATTTTCTGACGCTTAAGTTATCCAGTATCATCCTGCAGATGATTTACAAAACCACAAATTAATATTTGAGAGCATCAAATGACATTCAGGTGACAAGCTGTAAGAATATGGTCAGATCCTAACGCATCTGCATGTCTCCTTTTTTTAGAGAAATGTGGCTGTGAAGTACTTATCCGTCAAAGATCACAACAGGAGGACTTTTAAAGGCTTCTCAGGGTGGATTATTTCTGAAGTTAGTAAAGTTCATGAACATTTGTGGTTCCCCAAAGTTACTCCAGTGGTAGCTGGAGGCGTCTGGGTCACCAAAAATGGTGTCTAAATATGAAAAGCAAGTCTACATCTTTAATGGACTACAGGCTTTTTAGAGACTGCCATCACTGACCACAGCATAGACATACTGTATCGATAAACTATCGCTGAATTCAATGTTTATTCTTTGTGGACATTCATTTGAGGCTCTTTATATTCATCCATGTTACACAATCAATAGTATCAAGCTAACCAGCCATTTTAATTTCACAGGAGTGTCATGATTGGCTGCTGGAGAGCATGTGATGTGTTGTGGGCAGTAGATGGCAGAATGAAACACACTAACAAAGTGTTTCAAGTCACACTAGCAGAACTGATGTGAATGACGTTCTTTGCATTTAAGCTAATGTTATAGTCACCTTGGTCGTTCATTGACTAACAGATGATTCACCTAACAAAGAACAAAATGCTTTAAAAAAAAAAAATAGTGGAGGAAAAAACGGAACATACAAGCAATTAAACAAAATGTTATAGACCACACCACAGAAAAATACAAGTGGATCCAGATTGAAGACTGATCTTCTTGATTTATGCATGCAAACAAACAAATATTTAACCCAGAATCACCCCAAAAACAAAGTACAACACACCAAGAGACCACAAATGGCTGCATACTCTGTTGGGCGTGTTATTACCTCACAGGCTCTGGATCGACTCTGCAGGTTGGGGATGATCTTCATTGTGACGGTTCCATTTGTTTCTTTCTGCATGAAAAGATACACAACTGAATTTCAGTTCCAGATCTAAATGATGACATGAAAATCTGACATAATCCCCCAACAGTGACAGTAATTTAGAACAAACTTACCAGGATCTTTTGTAGCTGATCTACACTGTGGTTTGTCACACTTTTTCCATTGATTTCTGCTATTTCATCACCTTCATGCAACGAGCCTGCAAAGAAGACACAAGGAAAAAGTGTGAGAACTTCAAAAACATTTGTCTATCCTGCAGCTTAGACACTGTAGGGCTGTGTTGGTGTGCTCCTAATATGTGCAGGCAGCTGTCCAAGTTATATTGATTCTCCTGCGACAAAACCCAACAGTGTCAGACCTACTTGTTTCTTGATTTGGGGTAATTTTAAAGCAGAGTTTGCATCCTTATCTTTGGTCTTGAAAAATGTTATGGATTGATTAAACTTTTTTTTTTTTGTCAGAGTTAAAAGTTTAGTTACATGAAGCACTTTTGTGTAACAGGTGCTCATAGACAGAGATAAGATAAAAAACAAATATGAAAGTGGCTACAGCAGTAGTGAGATGTTTGTCACATTATTTTTGACAGTTATAGCCTTGAACAAATCATAATCATAACTATAAAGTACTGCACATGCTTGAAATATTTTCACTTCAACAGCTGAAGTACCATTTTAAAGTACATATATTATCTAAATACAGTGTATTCCACTTATAATAGCCTTTAACTGGTGCTTTTATGGAGCTATTTCAGCCTCCCTCAGCACACAGAGATGCTGATAATTCTGAAATGATTGGCTGTGATTGGAAAATAAACTTGTGGTTTCTTGAAGAACTTTCTTTCTAACACATAAAATCAGAGATCAGCAGCTTTGTACCCACTAACACTGGCATCAAATCAATGAGTGATTACTCACCTTCTCTGTGGACCATGCCCCCGTGCAATATTCTGGCCACTGTGCACCTTTGTTTGTCGTTCAGCTTCAGAGTTACGCCCTATTAAAAAAAAAACACAATAGAGAGGAGGAATCAGCAACACATAATGAGGAATAGTCGGCACAGTGTTTGTGTAGGGGAGCGGATGATTTATATACCATTGGCTCTGAAGGATTCTTTTCAAATGCTACTTCTCTCATCCTGGTCAGCTCTGTGCCGTTCATGTGTTTGGCACTGCCATTGGTGTAGACATCAGCCCCTTTATTTTCATAGGTTTGCATAGTGGCCTGTTAGGAAAAGAAAAGGGACAAAAATATTTTTTAAAGTCATTGTTTGGTGGATCAAAATCAATCTCTCCTTATGCAAATCATTTAACTCTTTGTTCTGCAGATTTGGTCGGACGGTTCAGGTCATTTCTCTTTCTAATAAGTGCAGCGAGCGAAACCTTTTTGCCAATGTGTGCTAACAGCTATGTTTCATTTGCAGTTTCAACATATGTTCACGGTTGAAAATTAACCCAGTGATTTAACAGCTCATTTACCTCGTCCAGTGATCCTGTGAACCAGGTTCATGTGGTCATGGAGACCAATGGTGTCATCAGGTGGTCGGTATCAAAAAACAGCATTAATGCAAGAAAGATGATTTTTTTTTTAGTATAATTTTGAACAGCTGAGAGTTTGAATGAAGAGACTACGGGCTGACTTGATTCATTCTTTGCCTTTAAACTGAAAAAAATAAAAAAACTTCAATAAGAGTTCACAGATGCAGGAAATCCCCAAACACAGAAAATTTCCATATGTCTTCCATATGTCAACAATGGCGGTTTCCAGTCTAAGTCACTGCCAGAGAGAAGATCCACATGTTCATGAAGCTTACAGAGACAGTGCTCTTATTGCATAACCAAGTAACTACAGTATATTAAGTAGGAGATAAGATAATATGACTCCTTAGCAGTAAATTCTCAGTTTGTGGATGGCTCTCATGAACAGAATCTAGAACAATGAAATCACAATATCCAAAGGTTTATAAATTGAACACTAAACCGACATCAGAGACACAATTCACTGCATCAGCACAAACTTTCTCAAACATCAGCACTGCTTCAGCAAAAAATATATCTATCCTCCAGAATCAGCACTATGATAAAACGATAAATATCATTATAACCCTCCTCTCCTGAGACTATAACCTCAGCCCTAAAATAATGTGCAGACTGCAGCAGCAGTTTGATACAGAAAGCAGAAACTCCTACTGTTTTACTCCTGTCTTTTTTTAATCTGGTCTTGGATTTGTTTCTTTAACATGTAAATATGTACATGTGTACATGTTAGCTTGTGCTTCCACTGGAAAACCTAATGATCTTTAAGTAAACTGTGTCACTTTGAAATGATGCCGGTGGCTGTCTTCTAAAACAAGGAATAAAGTTAAACTAAAAAAACATAATTCTCTAAATTTTGGACTCAAGTAGAGAAAAGGACCTAAATTTTTGTATCTTCATGCACAGACTGTGAGTCAGGAGACAACCGGCTGCAGCTGTTTTTGTGCAACCTGATACTTATTTACCAGCTCTGTGCTGTTCCCAGTCAGGACTAGGTGGTACCAGGAGGGAGGATTTGGATTCTGTCCCACAGTGAGAGAATGAAATTACATCCTCTCAGGAGAAGAATTTGTTCTGCAGTTTTGCTGCAGATAAAATCACCAAACACATATCCATCCTGAAACACCAAACTCTGATTTCTATCTGTAAAATCTACGGGGTGTCTGTCTGGTCTCTTATTTCTCATCCTGGAGCAAACATTTCATTCTGGAGGAGCTCCCATGACAACAGGATATTAGTTTCGTGAATGCACATATTTGTGAACTTCTGACTACTTTAATTTAAGACTGCAAGAGAAAAAAAAAAAGAAATTAAACTGGCTGAACATCCAATAAAGGCATTTATTATTTTTTCCTTATTTTGAAAAACTGCAGTGTGTTGCTTTTTCCACAAGGCACTGAGAAAGAATGTGCTGATCCTACACAGGACAGAGAATGAAGGAAAGTACATAAGACAGGATGATATGATACGATACGATATAAATCGGTATGAAATGATACAATACTGAATTGTTTCCTATGGAGACCTTGTCCTAGATTTCAGTGTTGCGCACATTTGGTGGCTTCTACGGCAGTATTGATTAATGAGCATGCTTAAAATGGAAAAAAATCGTCATGTCAAAAGGGAGGCAAAGGCCAACGATGAACCAAAAAACATTAACTAAAATAAAAAGCTCAAACATCATCATGATTAACTACTCTGAAACAAAACCACTGAAACTCTGCAGAGATTTCACACATTAACAGGCTATAAAAACAGGGAAGTTCTTCCACTAAGTGCTAAAACATTTGATGAGATTTGGATTAGCACAACAGAGAATTTCTAATGTCTCGGCATGATTTACACAAAGAGCTCTATCAGCTCTTATCACCCACAGTTCCAGGCTGTAAATAGATGAAAAAAACTCATGATTAATTAAATAGATGTTCATCTAGCTGATCACAATGACTCCAATCACTGCTAAGTGTTGAAATATGTGGCTGTAACAGGGGTCAAGAGGCCCTCTCAGAAACCAGTTTTGGGTGTGGAGGAGAAACGGAATAAACAAACAGGCGGGTAAAGAAAGGAAAGAGCAGAGAATTTCCTGTTTTTGAATAATACTCATCACATCTACATGTTTTTTTTTTTTTTTCCTGAGTAGACTTAACAAGGAAACAGGAGCATTTTTGAGTCTACACTTACTGTTTGAACCCTCCATTTAAATGATTACATTACTTAAAAAAAATACCTCTTTTTATTATGTGTGCTGTCTTTACAGATAATTAGCCATCAGAGGCATGCTACATCAATAATTCAGCCTCTCTCTCTGTTGAATCCAGGCTTGATCTATTGAAGGAGCACAGCAGGAGATCAATACATGACCTTAATGTACCTTTGTCTTTAAAAAAGAAACAAACAGTGAGATAGAGGCCTGTCAGACAAACTTGAATGACCCTTTTTTTTCCACACAGACTTGCAGATTTTGGCTCAGTTGTAGAAAAACAGCTGTAGGCTTTGAAAGACTAGAACTGACGTAAAAGTTAAATACTCTGTGACTGCTGCGGGCTCATTTGACTTGCGTAAACTTGTTTGTATACTTAGTTTAACTTTATCCTAAACTCTAAGGTGAGGACTGAGGCTAAAACAACAGGTGGAGTAGTGAAGCTTGAGTGGAAATGGATGAATGGCTGTCTTTGTAAGGCCAGTGCTCAGAAAGCCTGAGGTATGTACTCAGTGTAAAGCAGAAAAACAACCCTGAGGTGGAAAATTTAAAAAGCTCAACTCACTTCACTTAAGTCTGCCTGAGCACTTGTGATAAAGAATCAATTTCACGTAATAAACCCACTGCACTTGATGTAAAACGTGCACTCATAAGGAACATTGATATGACGGTAACTCAGAGGTCTGCTCTGTGAGATAATGAACCATGTGACTGCACTTAAAGTCACTGATTTCACAAATCAGCACTGAGCAGGAGAAGAAGAACACAGTGGTAAGATTGAAGCTCAAGGCTACTGAACCTCAAACTGCTGATGTCAGGAGAGGAGTTTCCTCCCTTCATGGTGACTCTGTGCTGACTTTTCAGATTCAGAGAAGAAGTCCAGAACAAAGAGCTCCCTCGATACTACTGCCTGCCAAACTAAGGCCTGGACTTAAACTAGGATTTAAAGTTTAGGTTCCTTTGTGGTCACATGTACAAGGTTTTAGAGGGGGTTTCAGGACATAATCAAGCTTAAAACACGTTTAAATCCTCAAACAACAGCCTGTAATAAAAGGGGAAAGTACACATGTCATCAATCAGCTAACACTAACTCTTTAGCAGAAGTCCAGTACAGCCTCTGGCAACTTTTCCCAGCACTATCACTCATTTTACTTCTTTCAAGTTGCACAACTCTGCCCCGCAAGGCAGAACTTCTTATGCTTTTCTTCAAGGAGATTTTAAAGTAATTTTAACATGTTGATGTGCATTTATAGGGTTCAGAAGACAGCCTATATCTCCAGACCACTCACTGTCATATGATCACAGCAAACTATACTTTCTGACTTGGTCAAGTGATTTCCATGAGTAGTTTTGAGGGGAAATGCAGAAGTGAAATTGTCCATGCAATGTCTGCAGGATTCGAGGTTAAGCTGACTGAGCAATGCAGTGGTTCCTCACACAGACCCAGTATCATCTGCATGCATGTTTCTTTGTTTAAACTGATCAACACACTCGGTCCACTACTCACAGTAAAAACATATAACGGGGTCTATTTTTAGAGATCAAGTCGAGGAACAAACAAATGGTCATGTGCTCCATCTTTACGGCTGCTTCCCGGAAGCAAACATGAGCACCAAAATCTGAGGGGTAAATAAGAAAACATGCGAAAAAACGACACCTTACCTTGTCAGACTTTGGTTTGTTTTGGAGAAGCTGCTCCAGGTAGAGATCAGAGAGGGCTGTCCGGACGCTGTTCACAGGCTCCAGTATGACAGCAGCTTCGTTTTTATTGGATTTTAACGTCATCTTGACCAGATAGCTTGAAAAAAAAAAACTAACTATGAACCCGCCGTGCCCCCAGCTCAAGGTCCGCAAGAGGGCTGGTCACAAAAGGCTGGAAAGAGCTGATAAGAAGACCTGAGTGTGAGATAATCTGAGAGATAAAAGTCCAAGGTACTGATCAGCAGCAGGTGAGGAGAAGGAGCTATCTGCTGCTGCTGCGGGGACACCGCTGACAAAGCAAGTAAACATGTAACTGACTGACTGCTGCTCACAGCTAGGGCTGGCTCATGCTGCGTTCACGGACCACTCTGAGCTCGGAAATCCAATCACTCAAGTTGTTTATGCTGCTGTGCGCTGACTGGTTTGGTTTCAACGCGGAAGTGAGAGCATAAAAGGCCGTGCAAGCAGGAACACTTTATACGATGTCCTTTTTCCGCTAATTTAGGATAGTTATGGGGCTATGAGTGAGACCATATCCAAACTACACTATTTACCTTTTTACAATTTAGTGTTTAAAGTTGACATTATCAGTATCGGACAATTAATTAGGCTTAAGATCTGCAGATGGACGAGGATTTTTCGTTTTTTGTTGCCCTTTTCCCTATTTGCGCTGTTGTCTTTCCTCAGTCTACTCGCCACACTTGTAACATTTTAAAGGATTCGCCTCAGTCCACAAAACTTTTCAACAGCTTCCTCATTCCATAAAAATCTGTCAAACGACCAAAGTAGAGGACAAAAAACTACACGAACGACGACAAAAGTTGTGTGTTTTAACACGAAGCACCATGTATGACTCATCAAAAACAAACCCCCATCCATGTTTTTCTCTATCCCTGACCTTTCCTGAGCGCTGAAAGAAAACTCTCAACATTTCAGACGGTATTTAAATGCAGCATTACCGCAGCGTTCACAGCAGAGCAGCACCTCAGGCCACAGTGGGGGAAAATAACGGAGTGCTGATGACTGAAATCCAAGCTGCTCATCTGTGAAGATGTCAAAACCTAAACTAAGGCTGTATATAGTAGTTCTTATTGGTGTAAAAGGAAACATCTTACATTCACGTACAGTTTACCGATGGATCATTACTGAGTCAAGCTGATGTCCCCGGGTCAAATGGAGCACGCACGAGCGCTTTTATAAGGTTAATTTAGTGCTGCAATATGGTCGAGGGGTTGGGAGCTTTAACAGAAGTGCATTGGATTCTTTAACAAATTGGGGCTTCCCTCTACTGCACTAAACACACTTACCTGTAACATGCTTGATCCTAATGCTCACAGATTCAGCATTAAAATGTATACATATTAAAGGGATATTCCGGCGTAAAATTAATTAAGGGTCAAACACACCGTAACACTGAGTTAGACACCCCCTCGAGAGATGAATGTTGCAGACTGCTTGCTTCTCCAGTTATACCAACTTTAGGATAACAATACACAGCGGTCTGAGGAGCCATAAACAAACCTCAACCAAAACGCCACTCTACAGTACCTAACAGCACCTAACATCATCAACAGTACATGTAGGGTCTCAGCCACAGCACTAGCGACCAAACATCTTTTAACTTTGCCTAATTTTTTTAGCAAAGAGACTGAACACAACTCACCTACTCTCTTCCAGCAGTCGCTTGCTTGGTGTGAGACCTCAGGCCAGTCCATTACGGACTGCTTCAGGGTGACGCAGCTCAAGGAAGAACATTTATGATCACTTCTTTATCATTTTCTTAAAGAAATAATCCCCATATTAATCATTTTGCACTGCAGACACGGTAGTCTGGTTGCATTTCCATGAAGAAATTATCATAAATGTTCTTCCTTGAGCTGCGTCACCCCGCAGCAGCCCGTAATGGACTGGCTCGAGGTCTCGCCACAAACAAGCGGCTGCTGGAAGAAAGTAGGTGAGTTGTGTTCAGTCTCTTTGCTAAAGAAATCTGGCAAAGCTAAAAAGATGTTTGGTGGCTAGTGCTATGACTGGGACCCTATACTGTTGATGAAGTTAGGTGCTGTTCTGAGCATTATTTGTGACTATAGAGTGGCGTTTTGGTTGAGGTTTGTTTATGGCTCCTCAGACCGCTGTGAATTGCTATTGTGTGGTCGTTACTAAAGTTGGTATAACTAGAGAAGCAAGCAGTTGGCAACATTCATCTCTTGAGGGGGTGTCTAAACTCGGTGTTACGGTGTGTTTGATCCTAAATAAATTTTACGCCGGAATATCCCTTTAATTGGACTACGCCTGACGTTTTTCCTGCCTTATTAGAATAAAAATGCAATTCTTCATTTTTGTTTCAATAACCTTCAGTCAAATACCTCATTAAAGCAGCCTGTTCTTAAAAAAGTCACTGACGATATTTCTTCCATGATGTTAAACTTACATTTAAACTGGTGGGATGCTCTTTCGTGTTTTCCATCAGATTTTTAGTGTGCAGGCAGTTAGGTCTGTGTTGCTTTTCACTTAAATGGCTGTAGAAACAGACAAGTTAATTAGAATAAATTTAAAACATAATACATGTGGACCACTGATGATAAGTTATGTCTTATGAACGACCTATTTCAAGTAAGGCCTCTAGAGGGAGCCAGCGTGCAGGACGGTTCCATCAATCCATAAGCCACTTTCATCCTCCTTTCACGGCTAAAAGAAAAAGACTGATGTCACAGGAGTTTTTAATTGTTTGAAAACTTCTGTGTGGAGTTTCTGATCTGTTATGAAACAGGCTGTGAACAGTGATGTGTCTTTTTGAGGGACAAAAGCAAATAAAACCATCAAAAACAGGACTGACAGTGTCTGGAATTGTAATTTTTGGTGCCTGTAACTGCTGTAGTGGGGAAGATATTCAAAAGAAACAGCTTTTGTTATTTTTCCCAACAGTAAAAATTCTCAGTAAATGATAAATTTCACCGTCAAAAGCCAAAAGCATACATTTTCCCCCTCAATTAACACAATTTCAACAAGGACCAGGTGATTTTAATAACAATAAGAGGGTTACCACTTTGTCCACATGGGGGCACAAAAAATCAGGACAGAAAGTTCCTCAAAGGAGCTTTAAGTGTATTTTACTGTTTAAAATTGGGGCACATTGCAAACATGGACTCAATTACTAGTTGTCCATAGGAAAAATTGCACATTCTCCAATTCACTGACAGTGATTTTACAAGCAGCTGTTTCACTTGTTTGGGCTGTGAACAATGATGATTTGACATGTACTGCTATAACTGTAATGTACTTCAGTGACTATGTCTATACTGTTCCCTTTACTGTTGGAGGACTATATAACAGAGGGGAAAACAAACCCTCTGTGGATCACTCTGTGGATGCACCGCAGTTCATGCTGCACTTTCCAGTTACCAACACCAGAATCAAAATGAGCTTTAGCAAACACTGGACGTTATGAAGTTCAGTAGGTGGGAATTTATTCAAGATTTTTCTCAAAAATATGTTAATTTTAGCTGGTTATAAATGGCAATTGAGTTTGTACATACTGTAGTTTCAGGTGTATTAGAGCTATTTCATTTGGTTTTATTAGGATAAAGGACTGTGTGTATGCTAACATAGTTTACGTTTTTAAAGCCACTGATTTATATTCCAATATGGCAACAGGTGTGTTAGAGAATTGCACTAAAAGACATTGAGCAGCACTATGTGGGTAAATTAATGTTACTTGTAAATAAAAAAGTAGATCCAGAAAGATCCTGAAATAATAAAAGGCATTACTGTCCAGCCATGTGAAGTTGTTATAAAAACATATAATAGTTGCGTCTGTAGCTAATATGGTAATTTTGCACAATCCCTCTCAGTTGTCAAGCTCTACTCATACACAATAATAGCGTACCATAAATAATCATTTACTCTGAGTGTGACAGATTGCTCTGTTTGAGTTTGTTCCCAAATTAAGGGTTAAGGAAATGAGAAGATATACTAACTAAACATGATATACTAACTAAACACCACGTTAATCATAAATAGAAACTCAGATGAGTAGCTGAAGCTGTAAAATTATAATAAAGAGGCAAACAAGTTAAGTGCAGCAAGAATACTGGTACACAAATGATACAGGTCAAAACCTGTAATAGGTGGTATCCGTAAGATGAGAAATTTCATGCAAATCTGTTGATTATAGTCTCAGTTGTTTTTGTAACTCATATAGAGCAAACAGAGTTAATTTCAGTACAATTTAAAACCGGTGAAAAAATCCTTACTAGAGCTTTAACCTGACATGAAATAAGTAGCATACAACAATGAACCAAGTGCTGCTGCATTATTAGGACTATACTGAGGTTGTTATAAAATCACTGAGGGAAGCATTAAAATATACCCTGAAAAGAAATGTATCATGAGACATATTCATTAAACACATCAGGTCACTGAGGGAACTACTCCAACCAAACCATAACAATGAAAAGGGAATCTAACGTAACCCATTACAATAACTCTACAATAACTTATAATAAACATATATTTTTTAATGATATATATTAGGTGTATGTGTTTGTGATCAATGTCTACTCTTTTTAGGCACTCATTTTCATTGTATTTGAATACATTGGTAATAAAAGTTTCCATCAATCTTATTCCACTTTTACAAAGTTTCCATATGTTCTGTTTTCAATGGCATGGTCAGACAGACATGGTCTTTAAATTAATTGTTGAAGTTATAGCAGAAGTTGGTGGCACACTGGAGTGCGTTATATTTTGCTCCCTCGTGTTTTTGTTGTTAATGAAGAGGACAAACGATAAGGAACACCTTTCGATATAACATTTGCCCACCACTACGACAAACAAAATGTTCAGAGATAAGTATAAAGTACAAAAATCACTGGTTTGATTGGTTCAACAAACACTGAAAATTGAGAAGCTTCTGGAAAGTAGAATTTGCAGTAGAGCTGTTGTGTTTATGGCATTAGATTGCCTTGGTGTAGAAATGGTAATAGTAAGTTTAGTTTATGATCTGGCTTATTTGAGGCCAGACCAGCAGGTGTCGGTAATTGGCTTACTCGTTGCCATCCGTGAAACCTAAGAGGAAGAGTCTGCTCCAGCCAAGATTCGGCCTGAATGTAAACACACCGGCGAGTTTTGTCATCATGAGGTTAATCTTTAAAGAGAGGAGCTGTAGTAACACGAGTTACAATTATGTTCAATATTCATCTCTTTAGTGAAGGTGGAGCTTGTTGAAGGCGCAGTAACAGTGCTCTGTACCTGCGCCGTGAAGGGAATCAAAGTTCATCAGACATTATTAATAAACAAAAATAGCGTTTTCGAGATGTTTAGTACTTTGAATCGGGGATTGCGGGCTGTGTTGAAGCAAACTCAGGCCCTGGCTGGAAACTGGATTCAAAACTCACAGACACGAGCATGTGCAACTTTTCAACTACACAAGGACCATCTTGGTGAGTTTGACGCGCATTTTACGCATTACCTCCCAGAGTTGTAACTCTTCACTCACAGTAACCTGCTTATTCAATCTTCAGTGCTTAACTATGGGGGGGCAGGGATGCATTTCAACTACGTGTGGCTGAGAGACCACTGCCGCTCTGAGTCTTCATACAACTCCAAGACCAACCAGAGAAACCTGGACACTGCCACTATCGACCTCCAGATCCGTCCTGAAAAGACCAGTGTGGAGGATGGACACCTCGTCCTCACATGTAAGCCACTGTATTTATCTACCAAAGTGAATGTGTGGAAATGATTGTAATATGGTCTGTATTTTCTGTCTGCACCTCAGAACCGTGCAGTGAATATAGCCTACAAGGCAGATTAAAGGCATGCAACTTAAAATCTACAATATCAACTCTGCAGTGTTTATGTTTTTGAGCTGATTTACCAAAATCTGTTCAATGTTATCCTCCTGCTAAAAGAGCAGACGGGTGATATAAAAGGGTAATATCATGCATTCTAATGTGTCACCAACTTCTGCTACAACTTCAGCAGCCAGTTAAAAGAACAATTACCACCAGTCTGACCATGTCATTGAAAACTGAACACACAGGAGCTTTGTAGTCAGACACTTAATGGTAGAGTTATTGTATTGGTTGCATTTAACTGCCCATGTGTTGCTGTTGGATTGATTTTCTGCCATGCTTGTGTGTGTGTTGTATAGGGCTGAATAGTTATAAACAATTATCTCGCATTCATTTCTAATGCTGCAAGCTGTGCATGCTGCTTACATACGAAATAAATGGAGTATCAGGGCATGCATCACCTCTGGATTCACTGAAATGTAATGCATTTGAATAGAATGAGTAAGCTTGGTCCAATATCTTAATGCATCATAAAGAAAATCAGTCTTCTTAAAATCCACGCACCAACCAGACAGTTAACTTACACATTTAACTGCTCTGGTGAAAGTTTTAGGATCAGAGCACCGAGATAACCCAACCATAAAATATGCAACAAAGATTTTACAATATGTTACCAGGAAAGAAGATGTTCTCTTAACAGAAAAGAAAGAAGTGGACTTTCGCCTCTGTAGTGATAATGTTTTATTGTGCAGAATAGGCTTTTGTTTGCTGAGTCATCTTCAGGGTGTGGTCAGTTAATGAAAAGTCTACATGTTGGCACTGCAGTAGAGCTGGAGAACCTGACAGGCCTCTTCTTTTAGACATTAGAATACATATGGCCTGAAATGACACTTGAGTATGAGTCAGAGGGACAGTCAACCAATCAACCCAATACCATGATTGAATGAATACAATGATCAATGCATACAGAGATGTAAGTAGTGAACTCAAATAGGGGCTCAAAGTGTGTAGCTGCTAAAACACAATACCTGTAGAACAGGCAATAAGAAGACAGAAGACAGTAAGAATTTGTATCATGACGGATAATAAACCTACAGAACATCCCTTTTATAGAGATCATTGTTCTGCCTTTCTTACCCTCATCCTCCACCTAACCACACAAAAGAAGAAAAACCTCACAGCAATCCCTCACTGAGCTGATCCCTCTGGAGGCCTGAGCAGGCAGAGATGAATGTAATTTCACCACCAGCCTCCCAACTGGTTGGAGTCATCCTTTATTATTTTTCCGGGACTGTATCCTCCTGCTCGTGCACACAGAGGGATAAAAAGCCATTAAGGGTTTAGCTGCATATCTAGGCTAAGATGAATACCTTGTAGCAGCAGCCATGTGGGAACAGATTCCTATATTCTCCTGCTTTTCAACCATATATTGTTCCAATGATAGACCTATCTGTAACAGGACCGATTCATTCATTAACTGCCTCTTTACCATCATCAGCTTTACATGTTGGTTCTCTAAAGTCAGAAGCAACAGCACTTGAAGAAGAAGGTGGAGCTGGAGAGGAGCAACTGGCTGAGAAATGCTAATTTATACAAGCTTTGCTGCCTGGGCCTGTGGTTGATGTATTAGCTGATGAATGGGCGAGTTTACTCTTGTGTTTCTCTAAACAGGAGGATTGATGGTGGTTGCTGACCAGAGTTTTATGTCCATTAGACAAGAGAAACACAAGGAATGGAACAGGCTGGCCTGCCTTGTGGTGGAGAAAGGAGTGGTGTGCTCATTAGCCAGCTGACTTGACTTGAAGGAAAAGCTAAGATTCCTGACTGCTATGCTGTTCACCGGCAGCCTCAAAAAATCAAAGTGTATCAAACACTGAAAAACCTAAAGGTCATGTGCAGTCAGCACTGATGCAGATAACAGATGATTGTTTTTAAGATAAGAGTTAAGCAAGAGATTTTGTGTAGTAATTAGGTGATGTAGTGGATCAGAGTCTTGACAGGGTGAGCAGGTGTGCTGACCTTTGTTATGGATCTTTTCAGTTCTACTATATGAGTCTGATTGTTTTGAAGTAACAACTTTGTGCTGTTGCCATACTTGACCAGGTCTCCATTGGAAAGGAAATGTCTGATCTAAATGGGACTAACTTGGCGAACTTAAGGTTAAATAAAAATGAAAATAAGATTACAGTAACTCTGTAACTCTGCTTCAAATGAAACTCCTATTGCAATAGATTCATATTAGCCTTATAATGAAAATAAACATTTAACTGAATATTTCAACTCTGGGTCAAGTTAAAACACTTGCCTCCTTATTTTCTACAATTCGCATTTAACCTAAACTCTTCGTCCGTGTCGTTTTCTTTCGCTTCATCCGGGTCCGGGTTGTGGGGACAGCAGCTTCAGGAGGGAAGCCCAGATGGCCCTCACCCCAGCCACTTCCACCAGCTCCTCTAGGGGGATTCCCAGGCCAGGCAAGAGATATAATCCCTCTACCTGGTCCTGGGCCAGTCCGAGCTCCTTACCCTATCTCTAAGGCTGAGCCCGGCCACCCTGCGAAGGAAACCCATTTGGGCCGCTTGTATCCGCAATCTTGTTCTTTCCGTCATTACCCAAAGTTCATGGCCATAAGAATCGGCACGTAGATCGACCGGTAAATCGAGACCACCAAACCAACCAAAACTAAATATGTTTTTTAGCTTACAAACCTAGCATGCTGGAAAAGACTAATGTGTTGCCACAGTGTCAACTGGCAGAAGTGAAATATGTTTGACTTCTTTATGCTGGTTGATCTGTAAAAATGTGTGTGATCAGGTTTTCCATGGTGTTACTGTTGCTGTTGAGATTTAATCAGTTGTTGCTGGGTTTTGACTTACCAGAGTCAGGTATTTAATACCGATGGTAAATAAGTAATCTTTGATTTTTACTCTTTGGAATTAAAAGGACCACAGTCTTCTTTCACAGCCTGTTAGCTCAATAACAAGTTTGGCACACAATGTAACCACATCCAAAGTTAAGCCTACTGACCCAATAAACTATGTTGACATGTTGACATAAACATGACCTAGAGGTCACTCAAAGCAGGCACATTTATTTTTCTTTTTTGACTTGATATTCAACCAAATAAACTTTTCCAAAAGAAAGAAAATTCAACAACTACATTTTTTTAATTCTACCAGGCTGTGAACGCTCTTGTATGTAGTTTTAAAGTTGTGCATCATAATATAAGATCCCAGCACACCTTCGGGGCAGGCCTCAAGTGGCCACCGGAGGAACTGCAGTCTGTTCACTTCAATTTTTCAGCACTGAGGTCGCCGCCTGCCTGTATCTCCCACAATGAAAACTCTCGGATGAGATTCATAATAAGCAGGAAAATAATCATAGTGCTTGATCATTAAGTTTTACGAACGAGGAACAGATATAGATATGAGGAGCTTTTAATAACACAGCAGTGCTCTCAGATTCAGGCAGATAAGAGGTGCAGGGCTGTCTGTTTTGCTTACAGGATGCTACTTAGAGACAGACTAATGTTTCCCCCAGGGCTCCACTTTTGTTTGGTTGTTGCGTTGTTAGTGTATTTTTAGGAGTGCACAAGAGTGGCTCTGAAGCTTAAATAAAGGCACAAATGGGCACCCGTCATCCTCGAGACATTTGATGATGCATGCTCTCCTGTGGGCAGACTGGCACTCTGTCTGTGGTTTGTACTCAAGGTCAGCTAAGTCTGGTTGAACACTGACCTTCACTGGCTTGGTTTGTTGAATGCTCAATCTCACTGATGCAGTATTAAGCTGCAAACCTTTATTAAAGCCTATTTGCATATTTGTCTTTTATACCAGTCAAATTTAGAGCAATCATTCCAAAATAAGAAAAAAAAAATCCACTTATGTGTTTCAGGGCCTGGTGGTCATGTGACAAAGTACAGCCTGAGCTGGCTCGCTGAGAACAGCTATGAGGCAAGGAAGCAGAATCCTGTCCAGCCTCGCATCCTGTGGAACGCAGATATCTATAACAAAGCAAACGTACCTGCTGCCAAATGGGACAAGTTCATGAGCTGTGATGAGGAGCTGAAGACGTTTCTGCAGAACTACCTCCTCTATGGGTTTGCTTTTGTAGAAGGTGTCCCAGCTACTCTAGAGGCCACAGAGGCAGTCACCCAGAGGGTCAGCCTTATCAGGTAGTAAGAGGTCCTTTTTTCTTTGAAATGCATGTAACCTTTTGGTAAAAAAGGGTTTGGATTGAAGTAGTGGAGGAGATGTTACATCCTGTTCATTTACTCCTGTATCATTGTGTTTCTTATCACAAGAGAGACGACATATGGAAAAATGTGGAGTTTGATTGCAGATTTCTCCAGAGGAGACACAGCCTACAGCACACTGGCCTTGGATCGTCACATTGACACTACATACTTTTATGAGCCATGTGGGTAGGTGCAGAACTTGTTGAACTTATTGTTGGTGACATAAAACAAAAGACCTTTGAAAAGCTTCTCGAAACATCATATTTTATTCCCCTTAGCTGATTTATCATTAAAAAAAAGCCTTTGATAAATAGCAATAAAAACATATTTCATCGCTTTTTATCAAACTAATAAATATCCTGATTACACCTGACTTGATTCTGCTGATTGTTGCTGCAGGATCCAGGTTTTCCACTGTATCCAACATAACGCCACTGGGGGAAGGACCCTGCTTGTGGATGGGTTCTACGCTGCTGAACAACTACGGCAGAAGTCTCCTGAAAACTTTGAGCTGCTGTCACGTCTTTCTATTCCACACGAGTACGCTGAAAACACAGGGACTCATCGAAACCACATGATCGGCATCGGACCTTTGCTCAATGTCTATCCATGGAATAATGAAATGTACCTGATCCGGTATGTCAACCATACATTCAGTGCCATCTTAGTCATGTTTGTGTGTTGGTAAATTGCATATACACATGTTGAGTGTTTTTATTTTTCAAATGTTTAAATGTTAAAAACGTTATTACCTTCTTTTAACAGATACAACAACTCGGACCGGACAGTGATAAACACAATTCCTCATGACCTGGTTCAGAAGTGGTACACGGCACATCGAGAGTTGACTACAGAGCTTAGACGGCCAGAGAACGAGCTCTGGGTCAAACTGACCCCAGGAAAAGTAAGGAAGCATCAGTTTATGTTGATCATTTACAGCTGAAGCATTAATGGAAGTAAATGTAGAGTTACAAATACAAGTGTAGTGTAAGGATTTTACTCTCTTTTGTCTTAACAAGGTCATTTTCATTGACAACTGGCGGGTCATGCATGGGAGGGAGTCTTTCACTGGAGTGAGGCAGCTCTGTGGATGCTACATGACCAGGGATGACGTCCTCAGTAAAGCGCGTGGCTTTGGTCTGCTGGCCTGAACACTGACACTTCAATTATGTGCCTTACCTTTAGCCTCCTTTATTCTGAAATGAAGAAACTAGTGCTTTTCTGAAATCAATGTTCAGAGAACCAAATTGTTTGCAATTTAAATCTTATCTCAAAACAATCATGAAGTCTCACTAAATGCTGATTTTAATCAGTGTCTGTTATTTTGTCATTGGCATTTATTGAATGTTTTTGAATCAATCCAAAAATGTATTTTTGGTGCTACAGTATGAGTCTGATTCAATCTGGAAATATTAAAATATTTAATTTTCTCAAAGGTTTCCATGTTTTTGTACTTGATAACTTTGTAGAAGAATTATAGAAGAATTACCCATAACTGTGTTTTAAAGATATTTAGATGAATTTATTAGTGACTTGATGACTGTGTTAGATGAAACATTACGGAATAATCAAAGTTACAGAAATCCCTCCTTTATTTCATTTAATCCTTTTTGTATTATTCATGACTTCAAACCTTTAATTTGAGACACTAACCTCATGATGCATGTGATTAAATTCATGTTTCTACAATTTTTCGATGATAAGCTTTCCAAGAATACTGCAGCTAGTTTTTGCTAATTTTGGTTTTACACACACAAAAAAAAAAAAATCAAAACTCAGCATTGTTTTATTTTTAGTTTTAAAAAATGCCTTTTAAGAACTATGATGAGCCACAGTCAGATTAACATGCCATATCAAGATATTACAACCAAAAATTAAGACTCGAATGGCCTCTATGAGTAAAACACATTGCATGAAATGAGCAACATTTTCCTCCTGAGGGTTTTGAACTCAGAATGTCACACTAAAGAAACACAAGTACATCTGAGTTAAACAGTTTTCTTCATCACAAGCAATTCAAGATGTGTTTTTGCAGGTAATTTATTGACCACTGGTGGTGGACTCTTCAAATGAAAGTAGCTCTTAATGAGTCTAGCAGGACGTATTCTACCAGAGAGAAGTTTTGAGTTTTCACCCTGTGAAAATATCCTCAGTGGGTAAAGATTGTAGAAACTCTATAGCTTTCTTCTATAAAACACTGATATGTTTGATATCATTAATTTATCTTTAAAGTTACTAATTGACTTCTATTTAAGTCCTGCTACAGCTGTTAAACTATATGGCTCCCGGTCAACGCTCCAAAGAAATTAGCTTTGCAAAGCTGATTGCTAAGTTTTAGACCATGTAAAACGTAGTAGATGTTGATGATTTGAGTGTACTCACTTAGTAGCCTCATAAAGATGCTTAACAGCTCAGCTAAAATAAATACATTAAAGGTCTTTGCTGCCTCACATCAGCCAAACTATCATAAATTGACAGATAACATATGAACACCGGCAGAGGGGGAGCCAGCTTGTTTTACATTAATTTATGGATTATTTGGGCCAAAGAAGGAATTTGTTAATTTTTTTTCTGTAATTAAGGAGGCAGTTATTGAGGATCACCAATCTTTAGATAATTTCTTACTTTAATTTTTTCCTTGAAAAAGAAAAGGCTCAATTCTTTAACAATATTCTCACTACTATCAATAAACAAATAAGTGTAACACCAAAAAGAAAATCTGTAGCAAACGCTGAAGACCAAACAGTGTGTGTGCAACAGACTGTTCCTGATGTAAAACAGACACATCTTAGTAAAGTTAAGGTATGAACCTTTATCTTTCTTCTTTCTAACCTGCCTTGTGATGGAGCACCTTCACAAGTACTTTTTGATAGTTGCAATTACTCACACCATTGTATTCTGTGTAAAAAGTGTGCTTAACTATATTTCTCTGGTTTGAATCATACCTTTTGTTTTCTGCATAGAGCATGTGTTGTTGGAGCAACACGCTGTTTTGATTTTTGGGACTAATAGAGTTTCTCCAAACTCCCCGACTAGATTTTCATTTTCTTCTTACTGGCAGTGAAGTCAGAGCTCTGATGTTGTTGTTGTTCCTGCAGCTCCTCTGCTGTTAGCGGCTGAGGAAAGAAGCGCTAATCAAGTGTTTGCTGCCACCTAGATGGCACTTGATGTACTCAGTTCTTGCCACATGGGAAGAGTTTGATGACTCAGTCACACAGGAAACACACTATTTTATTAAATCTGGATCTCTGAACATTATTACAGGTTGTGTTATTCAAGAGCAACTACAGATCATATAACAGCCCTAACTAATATCCAGCACCTTTAAAGATACAGTTTAGTGCTGCTGGAGTTGTGAGTATCAATATTTTTCTCTCTTTTCATGATTAAATTCACAACAAGGTTATATTTCTAAAAAGTAAGAGCAGATGAAAAACATGAGATGAGCTAGTATCTCACATAATGTGTCACATTATATATGGCTGCTAATTTTTATGATTAAAAAATGGAACAATTCAACTTCCAAACAGCTTCAAACATCTTCTTCTGGATAATAACATATGAGGAGTGCACACGTCAAAGACTGGACATCCTGTTGTTCAGAGCAGTGACGTAGCAGCATTTGTTCCCTTGCACCTTTTTTTAGGCTTCATCCCTCATCTGTATCAGCATGGGGTTGTGGCTGTGGTTGCCATGGAAATGCCTTTGGAGGCAGCGAGTGTCTAAACAAGAGCTCCTCCTAGTGGACACACTGAGAGCTGACGTTATGGTGAAATGTTGGGAGGTGAGGTTGCAGAAAGTTCCAGGCTTTACACAGTTGCACAAAACCTGAATAAACTGTAACATGAGTTTTTATACTACAGTTTTCATTAAATATCAAAGTAAACACACTTCTTTCACACACAGGCATCCTGATCCTGGTCTGGTTTAGGAGTATGTCAGGGTCAGATTTCCACATTACTGTGACAGTATGGTTTTAGCATCTGAACTTTAAGAACATGCTGTAAATGTAAGACTGAATAAAAACAGGAGCTGACAAAACTGAGGAAACACTGTCTGCAGATTTTAACAAGGAAACACTGGAGGTAGAATAAAATGTTAAAACTCAAAATAGGACAGAGAAAAATTGCCAAAAAGAGAGGTGATAACAAGAAAATGAAATTGTAAAAAAAAGATGACAGGTAGGAGAACACTGAAACAGAAAAAAAATCTAGAATAATTAAATGAGGAGGATATTGTGGGATAAGTAAAAGAGACAACATTTAGTTAAAAGCCAGACTTAAGAGTTAAAACTGTAACAAGCTACAGATAATAAAAGAATTAAAGGCAGAGCTGCTCATTCTGGATAAAAGTAAAAGAAAAAAGTACAATGTTAGTGGAACAATACTGCAATACTAATGATTAATATAAGTATTGCCATTATGTGATGCTGCTTAAAACAATAGAATAATAGTAAATCATACTGTACCGTACCATACTGAGCCCCGCACGACACACTTCCCCTCACTCAATCACACCTTACCAGACAATGCCATGCAGTACCATTAATGATTTGATGATTAATTAATGATTAATTAAGGAGTGTAATACTACATGATACAATATGAAACAATGTCAAAGGAGTAAGTACAAATTGGTGCAAAACAGTATGATCCTCTACAGTACAATAACTACGGGATACTTATAGGACATCACAAGATATAACATCAGTCATATCATACGATGATGCATAAAATACTATTACATTATTACATTTATCTTTTAAATCACATCTTAAAACTCACATTTTTAGACTTGCTTTTACATGATGCCTTTACATGATGCATGGTTTATTTATTTATTTTATCACCTGCATACCTCTTGTTTAAACTTGTCAGTCATTTATATTTTTATTTTTAGTCCTGTTTTTAACATTTTCACACGTTTTAATATACTCCCTCCCTTTTCATTATTACTCTTATTTTACCTTATCTTATCTAATTATCTACAGTATGTATTATTTCTCTTTTTCTTTTATCTGTCCTCTAGCCGCCTCCTTCCTTTTCACCTTCCTGATGTGATGCCGTCAACCACCAACCACCAATCTTTAACTATCCATTTTTAACTGTCCATTTTTTTAACTATCAATTTTCCTTTGTTTCTGCCTTTGTTTGCTTCTTTTGTTAAAGTACTTTGTAAACATCTGTTTTTTAAAGGTATATACTATATATAAATAAAGTCATTATTATTATTCCACACTAAACTGTACTACGCGATCATACTATATCATGACGTGACATACAATGAGGATACAATACAATCAACATGATACGATATGGAATGATCCAATATGATTTGATTGGGTAGGGTACATTTCTACCTTAAAGTACCACACCACAAATAAGATACAATAGGATATGTTTCCCTGAATATTCAAAACCATTTTTAATTAAATTGTCAAGGATTAATCTGTTTTTGTTTGTTTGTTTTATTTTTGTTTTTTTTATTTTGAATAAGTTATCTTTTTAGGCAGCACACACTTTTCATCAAAAGTTTTTAACTTCAAATAGAACTAATACAATATCTAATGACAGGAGCTATGGTGTAAGCTGGTGTTAGTGTGACAGGATGAATATATAATTATTTTCATGTATATGATGTGTAAAAAAAGTCACGGACAAAAAGAGATAGGGTGTTTACATTTGTGTGTTTGGTGTAAGGATAATAAGTTAAAATGGCCAATATGTAGTGTGTTTTTCATTAAAACAGGGACTGTGTAGGAAGTGTTTGTGTGTGTATGTGTGTGTGTGGGGTGGCCTCTGGCTCCTGAGTACAAACTGTATCTTCATAGTTAATTTCATGTTGTCCACACTCTTACTATTATCTCATCACAGCATTCATAACTCTAATGAAACGCCTCACAATGTGACAAAGCATACACTTTCAGTGGTGATATATGACAGACTGTACCTTCTCTTCACAATATAACCATAATTCTCTCTAATGGTAAGTGATGATGAAAATAATCTTTGATCCCTTCATAATAAAGCATGAAGGCATTCATACATATTCATACAGCACTCATGCATGCATCATATTCAGCATACAGAGACTGTCAAACCCTGTCATAAAGGTGAAGAAATAAGAGCATGGTTCACATGCTGTAGAGGCT